CTGTGAGAGCCCCTGCGGTGCTTCCCGTGCAGCAAGCTGAAGGCGTTGTTACCTTTCCTGGTGACCAACCTGCATCTCATCAAATTTTTACAACTGGAGGTCAGTTAACTGAAGCAGAGCGGAGAGACCAGCCTCCTCCCTACAGAGGAGACGAACAAGTAAGAGTAAAGTCGTGGGTTATGTTCTTGCTTATTAAATAAATATAAGGGGGCTCGCTTAGTAACAATGAAAAGCGACGGCAACGAAGGAGTGAAAACAAGAACAATTTAATAAGTAAGACAAGAAATTTGCATAGGCATCACAATTTTGGGTTTGTTTCTTTAATGTCTCTACTCAACGACGATGTGAAACTTCTTAACATGACCACAAACGTGGCCTACGTAGCAGGCGGTTTTGTGGTGTGTTTTCCGTTTGTGGTCATGGTTCGCAAAGTTAGAGGAGAAGCCGCGTGAAAGATAGACAGAGGTCTAACGAAAAAACGATGGGGAAGGGATCGAGTGGAGAAAGGCAAAGAGAATGTCTTCCTTCTCCCTCCCTGAAAGTCTGTATGGATGGACGATGGACGTACGCTGGTGTAATTACCAAATTTCCTTGGATCGATAGGTTTTCATTTCCTATAGGAATGTTTATATACCATTCAATTCCGCTTTTATACGTTCACAGCCACCTAAATTTTGAAAAAGTTATGACCCTGAATCAATACTGTGTCAAATTATTTTGATCCATCAGTTACTTAATCTAATTTGCGTTCTTTTTTTTCCTAGTATGCTGTAAAGACGTACCTTTGAAGTTGGAGCCTACAGTTGTTAACCCGTTTTTCATTGTCTGCGTCACAAACATTTCACAAAAGACAAGCGACCAGAAGAGTGTGGAGAGTAGAACACTGGAGCGAGGGGCGGGGCTGTTATTTTCTGTAATGGCCTATACAGGGAGGCTCCCCCCGAAAGGGGTACCTTTTTTAGGCTTCAAGTATATGAAAGGGTAGGGATTTCACTAGTTGGTGTGTATGAAAGGAAGGGGAAATCTGCCATTTCTGTCAGTAAAAAGGCCCGATATAGCTAACAGATGCATTTTATGGCTGTGAAAAAGTCAAGAAATACGTTCTGGCTTTGCTATTTATTCATATTTAAAGATAATGTATTCATAGCAGTTTAAAGGATGCAAAGTTCTAAACTAGGTATGTGAAAGGGTTACCATTTGTCAATAGAAAGTCAGGAGAGGGGTACATTTTCTGTCGAAAATGGTATACAAAAGGGTAAGGGGTTGGACCTTGGGGAAGAGCCTCCCTGTATAAAACTTTGTTGAGTAGCCCGCCCCGGGGAGCAGAACAGGCTGATGTTAATTTAAATTTTCTAATTAGTGACATGGATCATATATTAAACCAAACTTCTTTGTTAAATATTTACGTAGGTTTTGTCATGAATAGTAAAGAGTAAAATACTTTGCTAAGTTCATACACAATGCAACAAATACTAAATTTATGGTCTTAAGACCAAGTCAAAAACATATCGATTGTGATATTCAAGTAAGTACACATGCAGATAATCATCTTTCGAGTAAAGTACACAATTCTCCTAGGAGTAAACTTGGCTGAAAACCTAAATTTTAAATCCCATGTAAAGTTGAGAAATCATCCGGCATAAAATTTAATAAATATTTGCAGTTCCTTATTCCTAATACTTCTCTATTTAAGGTATACTGTACTTCTCCTAAATTTATTTATTTATTTTTCAGTACTGTGATTTATTTTATTTTATTTATTTATACATTTGCTACATAGAACAAAAATTACAAAAAAAAATTACTAAGATTACAAATTTACGGGGCAGGAATAGCTACAGATAAAGAGGCAAGGACGCCCAAAAGAAGCTATACTGTATAGCTCGTAGAAAATGGGCTCCTCATATTTAATCATAATTTATTGTAAGCTGCCATATCATGGTCAGGCAAGTGATGTTATAATAAATAATAATAATAATAATAATAATAATAATAATAATAATAATAATAACAATAATAGTAATAATAATAAGATTATCAAAGAATTTATTTAACAAAAACCTATTAGAGTGCTTCGACCTCACCGTCTCGTTGTAAAGCTCATGTTTATAATCATAAATGAATTACATTTCCATGCTTATACAGACCCTGTTTTAGGGAACTTGGTATACTAGAACGTAATGTCGATAGCTCCAGTGAAGCCAATTTATGTATTTTAGCAAAAATTCAAGTTTCCTTCAAGGTTTTGTAACAACTTCTCCCCAAAACTAGAAATTTCCATGTGTAACTACCCGAGTGTCGGACAAACAATCAGAAGTTGACATCGAAGTCATCAAATCTAGACCTCTTTCTTTCTTAGTTCCCTATCAATAATGATCTTAATCTTTCCATCTTAGACTCTACGCCTTCCGTTTGCTGTAATACATTCATAGTTCGTAGTTCAAGGAGGTCTAATAATCTCTTAGAAGTTTTCTATAGTTTCTTTTAGATCTCATCGCCAATTTTCGTTTCTCTACTTAGCAATAAAAATAAACAAAGAAACCAATAAACAAATATTGTTGTTGTTGTTGTTGCTGCTGTTATTGTTGAGCTTTAATTTACTGGAAGCTCTGTTGTTAGCTTTCGGCTAAATCTCTATCATTACCATCACCATTATAGCTAATAAATTGTGAGACTGGACGTAACGTGAATTGTGGTATGATTCAGGGGTACGGTACTGCAGGCGCCTCAACATAGCTAATTCCCCTGGGGAGTGATCACCAGAGTTTTGAACGGGCATGCTCAATCATCCTCATCCTTTTTCTGTCGCACCTTGTAATAATCGTCGCACTTTGTAATAACAGACCGTCGCACTATATAATAAAATAAGCTGTCGCTCTTTGTAATAAACTTGAAGTGGACAGTCTGAGGACAAGTAAACCAATAATAAGTAACATCATTGACAACAACAATAATAATAACTTTCGGCGGTGAACGGTTTTCAGCACCAATTTCTCAAGTAGGGGCGGAGAAAAGTCTTCACATCAACTGCGGCCTTCCGGCTTCAAGATCTTTGTAGGAAAGTACACTGACCCTTTCCTTGCGGGCGACCTCGAGACCATGAGATAATGTCCATAACAGCGACAGTCCGTAGTGATGGGATTTTTTTGTATTGGAATTTAGCTGCTATCCGTATTATCGGGTTTTCCATAAAAGTAAGGTAAAATAGTTGTACTGGTAGCACAAGGAAAACGAAGAAATCCGTTTTCATTGCCTACGAGGATATGATCAGAGATATAGCGAGATTTTAGTGTTTATTATCATTTTATATTTACAGAACCATAAAACACAAACATCAAGCTCAACACGGTGCCACTATCATTATCGTAATCAGACAATCCTTACCATCATCGTTATTATTACAGCAAACTGTTATTGTCGCACTATTGCATATCATTTGCCCACATCATTGTGCCACAACAGAACAACTCGCCACAGTAACTGCTAATTTTGTGGAAATTTCGAATACACTAGAACCGACATGAAACAAAATAGATTCATAATAATCAGAAAATACGACGTCGTAAAGTGTAGCCCAGCTAAGATAACAAAAAGTAAAACAAAGCAAACACAAAAGGCAAAGCACAATAATACTAACAAAAGGCCTCAGTCTCGAACATTTATGCTCAACTCCATCCTCTATGTAAGTTGTAACAAGGCATTTTTCTCCTTTTGTTGCCACAAGTTTTTTTTCTCTAGCTAAATATTGAAGTGTCTCTGCCTAGAGCTTTGAAGTATGCTTCTTGTTTCGCCAAAATATGTCCATGATAGTATGTTGATAACCATCCAAGACCTATATAACGCAGTACCAGCCAAGCATTTGCCAATTTTTGATTTGAGATTTTTCGCCATAATTCAAACATGACACCACTTGCAGGCCCAAACATTCTTATGATATTTTTTAAAGCTGACATTTCTCTTTAATACACCGAGTATTAACTTTGCACAGTTGACTGTAAACGTGACACTTGTCACGGTAAGCCACGAAAAGGTTTCAGGGCCCGGTTGCATAAAACCTACACTTAAGTGCCCACTTAAGTAGGTCACTTACGAATCCATTAGGGATACACTTACGGGTGTTGCATGGAACGCACTTAGCACTCTCGTAAAAAAAAAATGAAATTTGCATGCAATGGTTATTTTTCTTCAATGCCTACTGAAAATGATAATTCTTCTTCTTTTTTTCACAACGTCGGCTTTAAAGTGTACATCAGAGGTTAACAAAGCGTATTAGAGCGAATTACGTGAAGGAAAATTATTTTTTTTCACTTCTCAGTAATAGATCTCGTTAACTTTAGTAAAAACAGTAACGATACGGGACCTACATAGGTCCCGTACATTTGTGCTATTTTTCCCTTAAAAAAAGTTTTATGCAACACCCGCAATTTCTGTTGCATAAACGACACTTAAGTGAACACTTACGAAAGTCGTAAGTGCAACCGCTTGAGTGAATTCCCTAAGTGGACCACTTAAGTGATTTCATGCAACTGACTTAAGTTACGAGTGCTCGTACGTGTACCCGTAGTCGTTACGGACGTTTTATGCAACCGGGCCCAAGGTCCCCCTAGATTAGTTTAGGAAAAGACGACTCGATTTTACAAAATAGACTTAAGTCAGTATACAAAGATGAGGGAAAAAAGAAGAATAATACAACTTAATTACATACTACTTTCACAAAAGGAGGGTAAGGCTGATAATATATCTTAACTAGGAATATTTAAATAAAAGTTCATATTCAACTGATTTAACGGTAAATTTTAAATTAGATAGACTAGTCACAATACACACGGTAGTTAAATGTTTGCATAAGGAGCTTCAAAAGAGTGGGCCTTGGTAGGAATTAAGGTTGTGCGAAATTTTGGGATCGAATGCTCTTAGAAAATCGAGTTTTATAGGGCAGATGTGAATAGATTGTAAGGCAATAGTCAAGATCATTAGATGGTTACTATACGAGAACATAAAATACCGGTTTAGAATTGATCTCGAAAACGTCGCGTTTATGACGGAAATGGAATCCAGCAAGAAATTGAGTAATTTTAATTTTCAGTCGACAAAAACCTTGTACCAGAATAATTTTAAGCATATTACATTCTTTTTCACATTTTTAACGGTTATAGTGTTATCTGTAATACCACCAAAGAAAATTTCTTTTCGGAACCCGAGAAAATAAATGTCAAATTTCACAAAATGACATCTTTACACATGAATTTTCAGAATTTTATCTGTGTTTTTCACATTTCTTGTAAAATATGACATTAATTTTCTCAGGCTCCCATGGGAAATTGTCTTTGGTGTTATTACAGATAACTAATTATATCTATCGCTATTGAAAAGTGTAAAAAAAGAATGCGATATTGTTCCACTTTGTCCACTGGAAATTATAACTTACTCAGTTTCCTAATGGATTCCGTCTTAATATTTTTACATTCTTAAAGTAAGGTTCCGAACGAGCTCTATAATCTTTATTGTCAATTATTTGAACAGTGCGTTTCTGCAAAAGAATGAGCGCGATGTAAATTGGTTTTATAAGCTGAAGCCCAGCAGAAGGTTGCAGTAATGTAAGTAAGGACATGAAGGATAAACAAGTAAGAGATTTCTTGGGTAGAGAGTGTTTAGGCTTATAAATCATACCAATTGTTTTGGCCATCTAGGTATTTGTGAAATTTCAGTCGCACCGATAACAGTAAATGTTCCATTTGACTTCAGACAGATCTCCGGAAATTCTGCTTGAATGGATCGCGCTCTAAAATATGCATAGTCATTGAGTAGAAATCACAATGGCGGAAAGCACACCAAACATATGGTTGAAATTCGCCGCCATAGCACACATCATTTTCGGAGTGTTCTTGTTTGCCTTGGGAATCTTAGATTATGTCTTCGGCGATGTCACAGCTGATGTCAAAGTCAGAGGAGAAATGTTACTTGGTGTTTGGTCTGGAATTTTGGTAGGCAGTAAGCTAGAAGCAACTTCAAAATACCGGCCACCTTGAAACGATATTAATCAACTGCTCAGTTCCGTGGTCGTTCAGTGATCTAGTAAAAGGCGTGATTGCGGTTTACATTCTTGCAGACCATCTTACAGACTCCTTTGAAGGGTCACCGATTTTAAGTAGTGGAACGAGTGCCCCTGCATTCAGTAATGTATTACATAATTAGTTTAACTTTAAAATGTCGCTTAGCCTAAGCTTTAGAACGAAGAATCATGTGAATCACAATGCAGGATTAATAACTCCCTTATTGGAAGCCAGGCTTTATTTTTGCATTTTTTACATAAATTTTAAAATAATTTGGCGACTGCCGGACTATGGGAGCAGAGTTTCGACGTATAAGAGTGGCCGGGTATTCTGAAGTATAGACACAGGGAGTCTACCCATATTGTGTAGCTCAGGTTGATGTTTGAATTCAAAGGAGACCTATGGGAATATCGAAAACTTTCATATCATCGTAATGAATTGAAAATCAGCTCGGAGGTGGGCGCTGGACTGGTCCAGCGCTGGGTCGCCGAGTTTCCTCCCTTGTCTCTTCCATACTCGATTGTAAAACCCTTCAAACCGCTATAATTCGCCGTTTTCAGCTGCGAGAACGACAATACACAACATTTCAGGTAAAAAGATGTCTATTTTGATCTTATTAAGAATTCATCTCATTTTTTTACGATAATAGGAGCACTTTCGATATTCCCATTTATTATATAGACAAGAATGTTTTACTGGAAAATATACCACTCGTAAAATTCATAAAAACTACATCCGGGACCCGAGTGGTTTGTTTTCCATAATCTCACACCTGAGTTAATCGATGACGTAATTTCTGTCATTTCCCTCTAATGATGTCTTTATATAATAAAAAGAACATTACACAGAGGCTTGAAGATATGAATTTTATTTTCGCGTGGCAAAAACAATATTTTACTCACTAGCTGCGCTCGTTCGTAAAATATTGTTTTTGCCACTCGAAAATAAAATTCATATCTTCATGCCACCGTGTAATATCCTCTATGTATTGGGCTTGCAAGCTGTTTTTTTATTCGGACTTCCACGTCGACCCCCTCAAGAGCCGCTGCGGATTCTTTTGATCGCGTACGTTCCGGACCAGTGTTCGATCTCAGCAGTATCAATACAGGCATATCAACTGAATGGAGATGAAATTTGTGGTGGTCCCAGTTAGTCCCAAAACACAGATTTGAATGTAAATGTTCAACGAAATTTTCGCCCATGAAAGGGAATCAACGACAGCCTTGGATTCTGGATTCTACTCTGCGGATTCTGGATTCCAGGTTATTTCAATCTTTTGTCAGTGGAACTTAGATTCTGGGTTTCAATCGATAGTTGGATTTCGGATTTTTTGAGCTGTATTCCGGATTCCAAAGCCCAGGATTTCGGATTCCACAAGCAAAAATTCCCCAGTTTCCGGAATTCGGATTCCCCTGCATGAGGCGAAAAGTTCAGTAGAAATTTTAGCCTAGTCATGTGTCATAAAAGACAACCCAGTACATACCAGAACCTTGCTAATGAAATACCCACCCAAATTATACCTAAGTAAAAGTAGGTCGGTCCACAACCTGGCTCTCATAGCGGGCGACAAGAGGAGCCGGCAATCCTAATCTCCCGGTTGTTAGTACGTATGCGTCGCATGTATGTAGCCAGCTTTCGTTTGGACTTCACTGAGAATGAATGGAATGCACAGAACGCAATTTAATCACGAGCATGTCGACCTTCTACCCCTCGTAATCTGATCACGCGTGTTTTGACCACCTGTCACGCGCGTGAAACTTACGCAATTAACGCAAAGCACAGAGACAGAGCAAAAGCTTCTGGACCTTCAATCGCTGTCGCCCTCACTCTTTAACCTTTGGTTATTAATTACTAGTTTCGAAATCATAATCATGTGAATATTTGATAGATGTGCTTCACAGGATATCTGGGGATTCAAGGAGCTAAAACAGGGAGAAGCCGTAAGAGCCGCAATACCTTGGTGAGTTGACAAAAATATAGATACTGACAGAGTCTGAAGTTCAATTGCTGTTTTCATTGCTGCATGCACGAAGCACGTGCACGGTAGGGATATCAAGCTTTCACGAATTCAAACTTCAGTTTCTGAACAGTACACGCCAATGGGACCGGGCATTATCCGCTCTGGCAGGAGGTTAACTTTATTGACCGAGACCCTCAGAAACATTGCATACCGTACGGTTTGAGAAAGTATGGGATTTCATCAATCGAAATACTGCCCACTATAAATGAGCAACGGAAAACCTTATGGGATTTCTCCGTTTAAAAGCCATAATTTATTTCTAGGTTGGTACCTTTATGGGCTTTACCGTCATCTCAACTTTTTGGGGGATTGTGCTCATTATTTTCTACATTCCTTCTAAAACATCGGTAGAAGAGAGCATCGGGGTTTTAACAATTCCCATCCTGATATTTGGCGTCGCTGCGTTTGCTACTGGATTCGCGGGTTCAGTTGTGTCTTGCTTAGCTCATGATTGCTGCATTGCTCAGTCCTCTAGTCAGGTAAGTGAGACAGACAACTAGCGATTCAAAACTTTGTTTTTCAGCAGCTGGGATAATGCTTGTAAAGAAGTTTCAAAATATGTGATCGCGTGGTTGAACTGCTGTTTTGGGACTATGCAATAATTATCATGAGCGGGGGGAGGGGGGCCGAAAAACTAGAGTTATCTAGCAAAAACTTAGACAGTACCCCCCCTCCAAAATAAAAAAAAATAGTTCTAACCCCCCCCTCTGTTATGTTAAAAATAACGTCGCACCCGCCCCCCTCCCACCACACTTGTAAACTCAAAACTGGACGGAGCTGCCATCACAGCTTCAATAATGACAAAAGTTATTATGTAACATCTAGTATCGAGAAAGATGTTGATCGCTTGATTGAAGATTTAGACAAAGCATTTGCTAAGTACTGGGGTGCTTACCACATTGTCTCAAAATCTAAAACTTCTGAAGCCAGAAAGAGAAAGGAGCAGAGAAAAAAATCAAAGAACAGGAGATTGAACGCTTCAAATAACAGACGAAAAAGAGCTTGCATTATATTTAGATCCTTGGGAGGAGAGCCTGTTGAACTTTGTTATGAGCCACATATATATGGAATTCAGCAAATCGATTCAGTCGATGAAGAAACATTACTTTTATTCACATCGAAAAGTGACAAAGCTTGTCTACGAGATCTGTTTGATTCCCATTGTTTTATGGGAGAAGCTGAAAAACAAGTTCATGATTTTTGCTTTACATAGGATCAGCTCAATTAATTAGAAGACGGGTTAATATTGATCAGTCGTGAATTTGCTTTTCATTTTGATGGAATATTTTCAATAATCGTTTAACAGCTGTTCGTGTTGATATTTGTTACAGTCTATCATGATGCCTGTATTGAGAATCTTTTGTTGCGTTTAATTTTATTTACATTTCAAATAAAACTTAAGGCCCCCCCTCCGTCAAATGAGTGATTTTACTTTGAGCCCCCCCTATCTTGGCAGCAATTTTATGTAATGCTCCCCCCCCTCTAGTTTTTCAGTCCCTCTCCTGATAATTATTCCACAGTCCCTTAGCCAAAATATTCTGTGCCAGCCATTAATATTGTTTCGTCGTTGTTTAGCTTAGCTGCTTGTACCTTAGAAAAGCAACTCTCGACTCAGGAAGATTGGATCTAGGTCTAGTTTCAGCGGGCTCTAATGGCATTGAACCATAGGCCGGCTTTTGCAGATAAGAAGGTGATGATTTGTGCACAATGTTTCTTTCAGTTTGATGTCTGTTCCATGCGAAATCCTGTTGTTTATCGGACCACGAAAAAAGTAGTGTTTTGCTAACTATTTAAGTTGTTATGTAAGCCTTAACCAGGCACTCTTTCGCTGCAGTTCACTCAATTTTAAAATTTCTAGACTGAGATGACCCCGGTTTGAAACCTCGCGAAGTCAGATTACCGAATAAATGTTCTAAAATTTGCTTCATTTTAAATTTGGACTCGTTGGAATGCTTCTAGGGACCATTAATTTACTGCCCGGCGTCAGATAAAGGCTTTTTTAATCGGCCTGTGAATGAGTTTTATTGTTTTAAATTGCCAAGTAGTAGAATGAGTTGATATTTTTGCTAACCCGGTTTTCAAAAATCCCGGTATACATAAGAGACTATACTAGCGTAAACGGGCTCATGTATGTGACCATTATTTCTTTCAGCAAACCCAACCTGCATCTCATCAAATTTTCACAAATGGAGGTCAGTTAACTGAATTAGAGCGTGGAGACCAGCCTCCTACTTATACCAAAGACGAACAGGTAAGAGTGAAGTCTTGGGTTATGTTTTTGCTCAAACTATTAAGGAGCTCAGCACTTAGCAACAATGAAAGCGATGGCAACGAAGTGGTACAAACAAGAAAAATTTAAAAAAGGAAGACAACAAATCTGCATAGGTATCACAATTTTGGGTTTGTTTCTCAACGACGATGTGAAACTTCTTAACATGACCACGAACGTAGCCTGCATAGTATAGACGGTTTTTTGGTGTGTGTTGTTTCCGTTTGTGGTCATGGTTTGTAAAGATGACGATTGCTAGACAGAGGTCTAACTAGAAAACGATGGGGGAGGGGTGAGTGGAAAAAGGCAAAAATAATTTCTTCCTTTCCCCTCCCTGAAAGTCTGTACGGACGGACGGCGGACGCGTACAATGACGTCATAACCAAATAGATTTCCATTTTTTACAGCAATGAAGGCTCCTCGCGTGCCTCGCGCACGCGGAAGCTTTGCTACTATATGTATTTCGAAAACGTTATGACCCCTATAAATCTATACAGTGTCAAATTCTTTCGATTCAGTTACTTATCTTAATTGCGTTCTTTCTTTTTCCTAGTATTCTGTAAAGACTTACCTGTGAAGTTTGAGCCTCCAGTTTTTAACTGTTTTTCATTGTCCGCGTCTCATTTCTAACACTTCTCTACCTAAACAGTAAAACCCCGCAACTAAGAACCTGGATTTTTCCAAGTTAGCCTAAACAGGTTCTTAGTCGCAGGGTTTTACTGTATTGCACTACTCCTAAATTTTATATCTTTATTTTTACTACTGTAATAATAATAATAATAATAATAATAATAATACAATTAATTTGCTTGAAAAAAAGAAAAAACTATTCATTCAAAACACTATTTACAATTCCTGTCGATTTAAAAGCACTTAATTTAGCTTAGAAAGAGTTAATTTAACTAAGAAAAATTTATTCGAATTAAAAACATTTCATTTCAATAAAAAAACTGTCAGCCTCTAAAATTCAAAAGTTTCTTTCACCCGTTTAAAAAAAATAAAATAAAATAAAGACAATTAATAAAGCATCTATAATAATAATAATAATAATAATTTTTGATATTATTCTAAATAAGCTTTTAGTAGAGATAATCACATTATGATGGCCTCGTTTAGTTATATAAGAGATAATGAGAGTGTAAAAAGTGAATAATTTTCTAAATAGCCCTCTATTAGAGATAATCATATCATCATGTCTTTGCGTAGGTTTTACAGAGTATAAGAATTTAATAATATTCAGAATTGGCTTTTTAAGTAGAGAGATTCATATCACTATGTATTTTAGGATCGTATCAGGTTTCGTACCGACCTTTTTTTTACTTCTAAGTATAGCTTGTCAAGTGGTGTAGGTTACGTTATGCGCCCTATACTACTCATAATGTGGACAGCATTCCAAAGTTTCATACTGCGACACAATAATAATAATAATAATAATAATAATAACAATAATAATAATAATAATAATAATAATTACATTATTGAATAATTTATATAAGAAAAAAAACTGATTAGCGGGCTTCGAACCCGCCGTCTCGTTGAAAAGCACATTATTAGAATCAATAAAGAAACAAAAATACAAATATTATTGTTGTTGTTGTTGTTGTTGCTGTTATTGCTGAGCTTAATGATATCGGAAGCTCCGCCGTTAGGTTTCGGCTAAATCTATATCATTACCATTATAGCTAAGAAATTGTGAGACTGGACGGGGCAGTTGCGGTTAGATTCACAAATACGGTATTGCAAGTGAATTCCCTGGGGAAGAGATCAACAAGGTTTTCAACGAACATGTTCTATCATCCTCATCCTTCCTTCGTAGAAAACGGTTCCCACTTCTGATGTTTTTGTTTTTCAAATGAGCGGCTCACTGTCCTCTCCAGTAACATTTTAAGACACTCATCTTTAAGGAGAAAAGTCGTTTACAGGTGTGTCATAATTATCTTTTCGGCTACTCGTCTGTTTACTAAGTTTGAGCTCAAGGAGCAGATGGATGCTACAGGAGTTATGCTTGATCTTGATTGTCGTTTAATTCAATGTGCCACTCTACAAACAAACGTGGCCGATCATAGTGTAATGCAACTCTGATGAAGATTACCTGAGGAGTACCCGACAGTAAAGACCTTCTAAGAAGATTCTAAGAGGAGAACGAGAAGGATGCTGAGTGTTGCGCGTGCACGTGAGCCAGCGTCATTTTGGCGGGAAAACGTGACTGCCTTCGTCATTCTACTACGAGTTTTAGCGACAATGTCGTAGTGCCATTTTGCAATCAGGAGAGGGCTCAACCTCCTTCAATAAATATAAAAGTGCTAACTTTTCTAGGGAGGCAAAAAGACGATGAGGCTTTCCGGGGTGTCTATTTTTTTGAGAATACCTGAAAAAACTTTAAGTCAAACCTAGTCCTCCTCCTCAGTTCTAAAGGTTTCTATTGGCTGGTTGGAAGGTGACGTCTTCAGAATGCGAAGCTTACTCTGTTATGCGTCGACTGCTGTGAGTTTGATCGCCATCCTGGCAAACCAATTCAATATATCGCACGAAGATTATTTTAGTAGATACGCGTTATAATGAAACCCTTTATCCAAATCCTTGAGTAAACAGTCCCAATTCATTAAAAACTCTTTATTTACATGAAAGACTATTTAGACTACTAACAAGGGATAAAAGATTGACGTCCGTAGAAATTGGCACTTTGTTAGAGACCAAAATGTAAATACTATTGTAGCAAAACCAATGATAGAACCAACTGGTTCCCGATTTACATACATCGTACCTGACTTACGGATTTAGCAGAGTGTGTGCTTTCCAGAAACAATTAATCATACTTTTTTTCACGTTGGTGCTCTGTAAATAAATGTTTTCACTGGCATACACCCTTTACGATTTTCACATTGTCTTTTGCTCAAAAATCATAACTTTATTCAATGAGCAAGACTAAACTTAGTGTAACGACGAACACTTGCAGTGTTGGTTTCTGGTTTCCAGTGTCCAACAAAAACGAGGGATTTTCAACAAAATATGACGAATTTATCCCTCCGTAGTAACAAAAAGAAAGAAAAAAAATCATATCTGCATTCAATGAATTAATATGTACAGTACCGACCAAAAGTTTTATTTACAGTTGAAGTCGTTGATAAAACTAGATCCTTTTAAATACTATTGTAATAATCCTTGAACCAACCAACGTGCCGTCATCTTTCTTTGTTTATCTTCTGATAGTTTTCCACCATACGGTCATAATAGTCACGTGACAGCCAGAAGCACTGCAGGGGATCCACATGACTTGAGCTAATGAGAACAACACATTCTTGGTAAGTGGTAATGTTGTTTAATGGGTCTCCACTGTCATGTAGAGATCTGGTTTAAGATGGTTGGTCAATTAAGTAGCGACGTTATTGGTCGTCTGTAAGTTTTTAAACAGTCGTTTATTGTTATTCAAATTGTCGGTTGTTATTCAAATTGTCAGTCGTTCTGTCGTAGTTAGTTCTGGTTGAGTCCGTCAATAAGTCGTTTGTACAGTGCCGGTAACTGTTGACTGCTATTCAAAGGCGTTTGTTCCAAGTTAGTAAACCAGCTTTCTAAAATGAGTCGTTGATAGCAGTTTGTGGAAAACGTAATCAATTGCAACCCACAGTTTGCATTAAACTACAGACCATTGCAGCGTCAAATTTACAGTCAAACTCTTGTCACAGACTTTTTTAAAGTAGTGTCCTGGAACCATGTTTCATAACATGACTCAAAAGTGACGCACCTTTTGCCGTTACAAAACTTGATCACCAGTCTTCGGCCATTTGAACCAGCAATCCAACCGGGGAGGTAGACATACAATGCTGTAATAAACAAACAATAGTTACAATAATAAGTACAGCTTAACTCTGAGGAATCGCCGAGAATTTACTTCAACAGGCTGTAACTCACAGCTTTCAACCCTCAAACGGTTCCCATAGAGACGGGAAAGTAATCAGTGACAAACAGTTGATTAGAAAGCTTACTAAAATAAGATATCAGAAAATTAAGTGATGAAATGGCCGAAACAACTTGAAAAATGTATATATATTTATCTTGTGAATTCAATTATTTTCAACTTCACGAAGGATATACTACCTCAAATTCGTTACTGAAGTGGTTTTTAGCACAAACAGTAAACTTGAAGCGTCGTTTAGTTGTTGCCAACTTTCGTTTCGAGTTCAAAATGTTGGCTCTTTACCTGGATCACAAAGTGCGAGCACGCGATCCCCTATAGTCAGCGGACGGCGTTTTGTATGAGCACCGAACATGTAACCAGAACTCTGAAGAAATAAGCAAAAACAAAACCTGTTATGGTAAAACTAGGGACGGATACAGTGACTACAAACACATAACTCATACTTCCGAACAGCAGTTCTACAGTCTCCTTTCTTCCACCCCTGCCCTTTTTGTCATGGCGTCGTTATTGGCCGAACGACCGATTCGAACGACGATCGGCGCAAATCCAAGATTAGTTACCAAAACAACCCATGCTGTTTACACGCAATTATCCAATACTTAGAGCTAAATGGACTTCAAACAAATCGGCGAAAGTTTTTTCAAACTACAACTTTCGTGTGAACCATACTAAAACTTTAGCAGAGTTATTTACTTATTTACTTGAGTATTTCGGTTGTACCTGTAACTGCACAGACTGATCTGCCCACTCGATAATGTACTGTCGCCCATTTCCAACACGTTCTCGCACAGTTCCTAAACAAAGTAAAGTGCAAGTTAGATCTTACTGCATTTTACATGATATGTACTAAAACTATCAATGATTAACGAGAAGGATACGACATAACATGTACTTAAGGGCCTGTTTACATGAAGGTGGGGGACCCCAGATAGGTGAGGTAACATGCCGCGGGTCACCCCACCTATCATATAAACGTGATCAAATTAAAATGAGAGATTATATGGACAGGCGGGTTACCCACCAAAGCGGGTTACCTTACCTACCTGGGGTTCCCCACCTCCATGTAAACAGGCCCTAACGCGCCGCGTGTTAAGTACATGTTATGTCGATACCTGACCGTAAATTACTAGACAGATTTGTACGCAAACAAAATTTAAAGTTCCCAGCTACAATAACCGAAGTTGTTATTTTATGCGGGCTTCATGAATGGATAAAGCTTAATTCACTGCGCGATCTCTCTGGTCAAAGTGCCGTGTTTGATCGTTTTGTGTCTCGCTTAAAGTTTTTGCCCCACTAGACCACTACTAAGTAAAAATTTACCGATCATACCCGATTAAAGATCGAACGCCGCTTACCGAAACACAAAAGAATGTGAGAAACAAAAGCACTATTGTCTTCCAAAAATGCAACCCTAACAATACGCAAAGTTTGCTACCCGACTGTAAACCTGAAAACCAGAATTTTCAGTCCAATTTCCTCGGTCGATATAACTTGGCCCAAAATTTTATATCTAGTAAGACTTGCATACGCTTCGAAATCTAACTTCAGTGGCGCGTAATTAATCGCGCACAACGTGGCTCGTTTACAGGAACTTAAAGGACAAAAATTACTCTGAGCAAACCGCGCATGCATACTCTCTGGAACCCAAGGCATAGACAAGAATTGGAATTGACTGAGGATACTATTTGATGAAGACAATCGAGACCCCGAGAGGATGCCTAACGAAAACACGTCTACATCAGTAGCCTTTAGCAACTACGTACCAAGGTGAAACATGCCGTCCTTCTCGTTCCGGGCAACCACAGCCTGGCCCACTAAACTCTCTTCACACTGAAGGATATACTGGCAATCTCTCTCGAATTTCTCAGGAGTTATTAGATAGCTTTCCTCTCGTGGTATAACGCTTTCTATTCCATCATAATGTCGAACGTATAATCCATCATTTTCCAACCTCAGTACAGTACCTGAAAACAGAATAAAAGCTCAACTCACTTATCAAAGGCAGCAATTAATAGGAATGTTTCCTGACAGTAATATCGCCCGCTTAGCTTTTTTGGCGTTTTCATTTACCCCCGAAACGACTATGAAAGATTTGGTAGTGTTTGTTAAGAGAAGAAGAGAAAACAAGACAAAACGTAAGAGAAGTCGTTACGTCAGGTTGCCATGGTAGCAAAATTTCTGGATCTCAAAAAACCGTGGTCCTGCAAATATGGCGAAAAAAAAAAGGCAAAATTGACAAGTCTGACTCTCTTGTGCATGATTGTAACAGGAATGTTTACACAGTAATATCGCCCGCTTAGCTCGCGTTTTTTGGGGGAAGCGCGCGCGTGAACGAGCGAGAAAGCCGCGAACATAAGCGGCTTCCCCATACTTCTCTTCCCTTCGCCGCTCAGTCGCTCGCGCGCGCTTCCCCAACCAAAGCGCCAGCTACGCTTAGCAACGCAGGCTACTGGCAAGACCTGCAGTGTAGACCTGCGTGTGGTCTTTGATTTGAATCGGTGAAATTTAGATTAAATATCTCACGATGAAAAAACCGTGACGTAGCTGCTTCAAATCTAGATGTGGTTCACAGGAAGCAAAACACCGGAAGCGTCACGCAACAGGCAAGTTTAACGCAAAATCCACGCAAACCACACACGCCCTGCCCTTTTTCTCTCTCCGTTTTCATGCACGCTCCAAACGCGCATTCTGTCATATGGCCAACATAAGTCCAGAGCGCTTACTTGTGCAAATAATCAAACAGTGTTTGATTATTAATGAAATACAGGGTTCAACTTCAACCCCAAAATCATGCACATATATTTTTGAAGGCTACAAAGATAAATTTTCCTGACTGTCGTACCTGGTGCATAAGCGTACGGAAATGAAGGATGAAGCGCAATTACAGGATCATGTACACTGATTTCATTTTCAGCATCATCTGCTTCTGTGATGATATCCGGTCTGTAGATTTGTTCCAGGTCACCCACGCTGTCCTCTACGAAATAACTTCCGTCTCCACAATCTTGCTTGATGGTGCCTGATGAAAGCAATAAAAACGGTTAAAACTACAACCTTATTCAAGCAATATAAATACGTAGTTCTTCGTAGCCCAATACTAGAAGAGCGCAAATATTAGTATTCTAGACGGGCTGATTAGACTGGAAACAAAACAAAACACATCTGCGTTAAACTCAATCATAAGAGAAAAGCAGCCTCTTCCCAGTTCTCCTATCGACTTGTTCGCTAGTCTCGACTCGACTGAAAAGTGCTCGCAGACATTTTCAAAACAATTAAGGTTTCCCAGGGCTAAAATCTCTCATTCTTTTTATAGGGGCTGTTCAAATGGAGGGGGAAGATCCTACAAGGCGGAACAACTTTACGTTGCCTTTACATGGAGAAATTTCGGTCCGTGTAGTGCCCAAGAAGAGAAGGTTCGAGAAGGAATTAAAAATGACGGGCGACAAAAACAAAAACTGCCGTTGGGCCCTTCTTCTCTCTTAACTGGCGTCAATAACTACTTTTCAGCAGAATTATCACAATTATCAGCTCGTAGTAAGGCCAAACGAAGTGGTCGGCCTTTATTGTCGTGATTAGCCACTGAACGACCTGCCGCCATTTTTGCGTGGTTTGTCCCTAATACTAGGATCTTCCTAGCGAAGGCAGTTTACATGGTGCTCAGATGGGAAGATCCTAGTACTTATAAGGAGCCCTAGGAAGATCCTAGTCGTGGGGACAAGTACAACCCTTTGCATGATGTAAACTTGAATACAGACAACACATGGCGCTAGGATGATCCGCTTTCTGGATCTTCCTCCATTCATCTAAACAGCCCCTCAAATTGCGAGTGATGAAAAAGTATCTACTCTTCCCGGTTCTCAAAATATTACTAAATTTTACTGTAAAACATTAACTATGCATATAAGGCGGTCTGGTGGCCCCGTTTCAATAACAATTAATCTTTTAAAGTCTCGGACATAAAAACCACCTGCGTTGTACAGGCGCGAATTAACAGAGAACAAGCCAAAAAGGTAATAGAATTTGGAAAGTCAATTAAGGTTTACCTCGATAATACCATCCCTCGTCCGACCACCGAGCTAGAACTTCTTCTCCCACCTCTAGCGATCTTGGAACGCGGGCTGTTTCTACAGCGGGGTCCTGGTCCGGAGGAAGGCGAGCTGAAATGGGAAATACCCGCAAGACCTAAATAAGTGTGTTTTATCAAAGGATGCCGGGCGCGAGTTATTTTCCAAATTTCACAAATATACCATTTTATTATTCCACTATTACGTCATTTTACCAAATAAGGTTAAGAGAACGCGCAAAATACGAGGCCGTAATACACTGTAGTGTCCTGGTTTAACCGGTATTATATGCTAAACCATAGAATAAGGTGTATCTATTACCTACTAATATAATGGGTCACCAATAACGCTCACAGTCGTGGGTTTTTTTTACTTGTTTATTCTATCGAAAACTCCTAACATTGAAATGTTTTAAGCATATATGTTACACTTGATTTTCTGAATTTTCGTCGAGAAAAGGCCTCTTTACTGTCTACAATTAAGCTCTAATACACGTTTGATTTTTCTGCAACGTTTTTTAACGCTGTGCCATTTTCATCCGCAGCATCTTTACATCACGACCCAATTTTATTACACTGAATTCACTGAAGTTATGATGTACTCACATTTGAGGAATTTACTGTGGTTTCATAAGTTTAGTATCACTACTATTGTTATGAGAGCCGCTAGGTGTTACTGCTAATGAAATTGGAGATACATATACAGTCGACTCTCTCCCGACGGACACTTCTAAGAGACGAATACATCGGTAAAACGGACATCTACAGCTAGTCACCGCCTTTCTTTACTCTCTAATTGACTCTATAAGACGGACACCTTTCTCAGAAGGACACTTAGGGCCAGTCTCAAAGGTGTCCGTCTTTGAGGGAGTTGTCGACTGTACTTGTATTCGTAAAACTTACATATCAGGAGCCCGTGAGATCCTTTGGTCAAAAGACACGCTTCGTTCCCATTGGATACATGGACCTGGACCGCGGGAGGTTCATCTTCGCTGCCAGCGGCGAGGGTAGCGGCCGGCACCTCATCTTCTCCATCGGGCTTCTCGTCATCAGATGAGTCTGATGAGGAGGAGGATGACGACGACGACGATGACGAAGAGGATGATGATTTTTCTTTTTCACTCTTTGTAGACTGCTTCTCGTCTTCTTCTCTGTCGCTTTCCTCTTCTTTGTGTTCGTCATCAGATCCTGGAGGCAGGCTGTTATGAGAAGATCGTTTAGATGATTTTGATCGAGCAGACGTTGGTCTCGAAGACTCAGCTAAAGGTTTTCCAGGTGATGAAGATTTCTTTGACGATTCTTGCGAACTACGAGGGGAACCTACAAAAAGAGGAATATATTGGTAAGCTGAACGGTAGTTCCAGTAGATAAGGGAGGCAAACAAATTCAAAACGTTCCGCTTTAAACCAACCACGGTGACGTATTTTATGAATCGGACCAACCTACTCCAATATCCTAGCCATTTAAGCGTTCCCTCACTTGCTAAGAAAAACCCTAGGGTTAGGAAGCGATGGTATCGGCGGTGGCAACGAGAACGGCAAAACAACAACTTTGCACGTGCATCACGCTTTTTGATGTGTATCTTTCTTTGCCGTCACTGCACGACTACGACGTGAAACTTCCTAATTTCACGTTTTATGGAGGACGTGAAGAATAGACGACGGTTTTCTTTTTCTTTTTATGAACTTAGACACAGTCCTTTGTAATTCAACTCCTGAAACAATCGTCAACATTTGACAAATTGAAAGAGCTCAAATTTAAGCGATGGAGTTTGAAGCATCACGATGGGTGACGTCTTCGCTGCCGTCGTCTTTGCTTAAGCTTCCCATTAACACAAAGTTTAGCCCATTTTTCATACATTGTAACAAAACCCGCCATCTAAACCATCATCAAATCAGCAAAAACAAGTGAAATCAAACTAGTATCTCAGAGTTACTTTCTATGCGTGACAACTGTCAAGAAAGCACATTGTCTAGATTCGAAAAAAACATTTGCTAATTAATACTTCAAACATCCCTCTAATAAAGAAATATCAAGGTCGACCGATTATCTAAAACCACTGTCTACATTGTACTTTCTTTTTTTAAACAATTGGCCCTAAATCGACCATAAACGCTTAGAATCTCTACAGACATACCAAATCAGTGAAGTCAAACCAAGAAATTTAATTGAAAATGTTTTCAGCTTGAATTTGATGCCATTTAGTCTTACCTTTAGATGATGACTTCTCCGAACCTTTCACTGACGCCCTAGGGGACGACCGCGACGACGACCGCGGAGTTGACCGCGCGGACGACGGACTGGGCGGAGATATTGAACGTGATCTCGGAGGAGAGACCACAGGGATATCCGGAATCTTGACGCGGGGGCGCTCGGGTCTATCCTGAGCGGCTTGGAGGTTGTTGGCTAATTGTTGTAAAAGCTGTTGCTGTTGTAACTGTAGCTGCTGAGTTTGGTTGTACTGCTGCATAAGAAGCTGCTCTTGTTGTTCTTTTTGTTTTTTAAGCAGTTCTTCCTGTTGGTTTTGAAGCCGTTTTTGTTCATCCTGGATCTCTGTTTGCCTGTTTGCGAAAATTAAAATGAAAAGAGGTGCTCAGAGAACGTAAAATTACTGCAACATAACACGGGCGGAGACAAAGATTCAATTCCTGATTCTAGGGCTCGAAAAAAGTCCCGTCCGGTAGACCGGAACAAGTTGCCGGGCATGAAACAGAACTATTAAAAGCTTACTTGCCCAGTGGGCAAGGGTCCAGGCAAAGTCATTCTCTAACAAAATGATTAACCCTTTAAACCCTAAGATCAAAATTTGAATTCTCATTTGTTGCCCCTATTCATTTTCTAAAGAAGTAGTGGGGAGAGGTTGATAAAATATCAAGCAAATTCATCTTGTGTGATCATGTCCTTAAGTCTCATGACCACTCTGTTTTACAAAGCATTGATATTACAAGGAGAAATTTGATGCTGATCACTCTAAGGGCTTAAAGGGTTAACTAAAACGAGCGAGAAGTAGCCCCGGGCAAGAAAAAGGTGAGAGCTGCTTGACCAAAGGACAAGCTGGAATTCAAGTTTTTTTGTTTTGTTTTTCATGCCCTGAGACAGATTCATAAACAAAAATCTTTGCCACGAGGACATTGCTCTTTTTGGTCAATTCTGACGAGTTTTAATAACTCTGCTGTCATAAGTGTACAGACAACTTGCAAAGAGAGGAGCAGATAACAGTCGATCATCGACTCATTCCGACTAAACTTTGCCCAGTGTCCGACAAAATGTCCGATATGAAGGGACCGGACAGATGCAACACCACAAAGGTTATCAATTGGAAGCCGAAGATCTGACTCGAACATGTAATGAATGGCGGACAATTTTCTGACTTGTATGGATAAATGATGAGCTGGTTAGAGGTACTTCGATTATAAAACCAAAAATTATTTGCAGCTCTGCGCAATTATTCTCCATCAGAATAAATAATGTATCTAAGTACCGATCAAAGTTCAAACCTTTTATTTTGCTCATCGATCTGCTGTTGTAGAAACTTCTGTTGTTCATCGTCCAATTCTCGCCGCTTGTCTTTAAGTTCTTCTGTTGCTCTCTCGTGTCTTTCCTTCTCCTCGTCCAGCAGCCTTTGTAACTCCTGTATTTTTATGTTGACCTCATCCAGCTGCTTCCTATGTTCCTCCTCCAGCTCTTGTTTCAGTTCCTCAAAAGATCTCCTCTCCTCTGCCGGCTCGCGGGGTGACGCCCCTTTAGATGACGGTGCAGTGCTCCCATTAGCGCTTGGACTGCGGCTACCGCTTCTGCTATTGCGGCTGCTTTTGCTGGAGTGACTGCTGGCCCGACTGCTGGCTCGACTGCTAGCTTGGCTCCGGGGCGATTCTTCTCCCTTGCTTTTGTCTAATGGACCAAAGAAAGTACGTTAGAAAGAAAGTGGTGTATGTTAGTCGTAGAATCAAACAGGCGCACACTATTCGCCACTTAAGAAACGAGAAGGGAACTGGAGCAGAAACGCGGTTCGCAATTGTTTCTGGGATCATGCCATTTTTTTCTTGTCCTTAGTAACAGTCCCATGAGTCTTTGCGAAAGATTCCTTCTCGTTGCGACAGTGGCGAGTTGTGACTGTTTATATACCTTTATCCTCGGAGAGAGCGTCTTCTTCAGCCTCTTTTAAGTACATTCCAAACGGCGTTGTTCTAAAACAAGTAACGGAGGCGCATTGATTAGACGCCCCAAGATAAAGTCAGGGAACTGAAAATGTAGTTTTAAAATTAGGACTGACTTCTACGTTCGCCACGAAAAGTACTCGTGATACCTGCACTTTTGAAAGCAAAAATGCACTGAACTGGAAACCTCTCTTCCAAAAAGATTAGAGGGTAATCTTAGTTTACTTGAACTTACGATCGATAAGCAGAAAGCAAAGCATCTCTGATGTAGCGACAGGCGAACGTGTAGCGTGCTTTAGAAATCTTCACCAAGTCATTCCTCACGGATGTTATCTGAATATAATGTAATCAAAAAGGTATAGCAGTTGAAACTGAATGTAGACATGACAACGTGACAACAGGACACGACTTTAATTAGGAACCCAATGAGTTTATGTTTTAAGAATCTCGACAGAACGGCAATATTACATATAGTCTCCACTAAATGGACCAAGTCGTTCATTACTAGGAATAGACACCTCTCGGATAGATTTGTTGTCGCTTTCATGTTAAAACAAGGCAAACAAACAAAAATGAACATAACTCATTTACCCCCGAAACGACTATGAAAGATTTGGTAGTGTTTGTTAGCAGAAAAAGAGAAAACAATACAAAACATAAGAGAGGTCGTTATGTCAGGTTGCTATGGTAGCAAAATTTCTGGATCTCAAAAAACCGTGGTCCTGCAATTATGGCGGGGAAAAACGAAAAACAAAATTGACATGTCTGACTTTTCTGCGCATGATTGCACTCAGGAACAACGCGGCAGCCCCAAATTTTCTTCCATCGTTCGACAAATGGCCTTCTCTGTCAAGAAAGATTGTTGAGATCTAGAAATTTTGCTACCATGATAACGTGTAGTCACCCTTCTCCTCTCTATTGCTGATTCGAACTATGACCAAATAGGTGAGAAGCCCGAAATTCGGCCACTCTAGCCTTTGCATGCACTCAGCGCGAACAAGTCTTCGCTTGAGAGAGGGTCTCGTTACTGTAGAGTTGACCTTTACCGACCTTTTTCCCATTAAAGCGTAGTATTGTGTAGCACTTGGTGGCTGTAGCTTTTCTCAGCGGAACAACTTGAACGATTCCAGGGACGTAACACTGCACGCCGTCAATTATCTCATCATCTTCTTCCTCGCGCGGAACGAGGGTTTTGACGAGAACATAGTCGCCAACCTGTTGAACAAAAAACACCTCAGTTAAAATAAAACACGATCAGTGAAACGTACTCTGAGGGTGAACTTGGTGGAAGCTTAGTGACTGACTAGACTCGCATTTTGCAATACTGGTAAGCTATAACTTTTCTACCACACATCCCAAGGCTAACGCTCTAAGGTGAAGATTGAATTAGCTCCAAGGAGACAATAAACAGATAAAAGTGCAACCACTTTGATGAAGGAAAAAAAAATGACTGCTTTGCATGATACACATCAGCATAAGGATAGGTAATACAGCACAGGAATATTGCACAAAAAGAGAGCGTATAAATGGAGAGTTACCCTTTTTACTTGACTACACGCCGCAGATGGAAGCAAATATATCATCTAAAAACGCCTGCCGGCGGCATTTATAGAAGGATTATATGAAAAAAAAAGAATCGGTACAACTCAGTAATCTACACCTTCGAGACAAGAAACGGCAGATAGCGTAACCAAGTTATGCTTGATCCCTCTAATACAACACGACCCACAACATTGTAACCAGCATTCTCTACAGAAAGTAAGGGATACTGAACCTTAAGTGACGGACAAGGCCTGGCTCCCTGCATAGCAATGACGTATCTAGAGGAAACAACCTGACGGTCAAAATCCCGGAAGTCAACCTCGACATAACGTGAGTTCAAACAGCGCACTACCAAGCCTGCGTAGTAGAAGCCATCCACCTCGTTTCGCGCCAAAACCTTGTGGTGAAGAAGACGATTTTTATTGGAGGTTGACTGAGCAGGCGGAGCGGGCTTGGGACCCTGTTGAAAAAGAAACTTTTCAGATCTGGCAAGTCAGGAGTTTTTATGAACAAGGAATAAGGCGCGGCGAGTCCATAGACAAGATTATTCATTTATCATGTTGCACGTAAACTTGGACGTTTTGAGGGGAGTCGCCCTTTCACGACTTCGTCACCCCTAGTTTTCGAATTGTGATGAACAAACTGGAACTACAATCCTGGACAAAAGTCCCTGGGACAGTACTGCAATATTCATATTTTTCTGTCATTTCTCGGTTTCCTCATAACACAGTGCATCCTCTTCGAAATTGTCTTGCAGTTCTCCCTCCCCCACCCTATACAAAGTTGAAACTCGGAAAAAATTCTGGATACACGCGTCCAACATTGTTTGTGGGGTGAGGGGAGGTGTTGAACCTGTGTAAATAAATTGGAAAACGCCCCAGAAACGCAAAAGTGTCCCAAGACTTTTGTCCATGATTGTAGCTCACAGACGGAGTTTACGCGGGAGAATTGGACTAAAACTAGCATTGTTTCTTGGCTAGTTCCAGTTCATTGACAAGAATAGGAAAGTAGTCTACATCCTTGTATTCTTGCATTGCCAAAAGCTCAGTAGAGATACGAACCATAAATGTATACTAACCTTGGTCATGATCTGCTCGATTCGCTTGTTTTCTGCTTCTTCCCGAGCTTTTCTTTGTTTTTCCGCTATCTCACGGGATGCCTGCCAAAGAGTTGTACGTCAATTCAAGATATGCTTTTCTCGAGCGTTCAGTTACTGTTCTGACCTTTGGAATAACCTTTTTCTAATTTTTCGTTCTGATTATAAGCTCGAGTCAGGCGTGAAGGAAATGAAAATGAAAAAAAGAGGTCTCAGGCGCACAACTGTTACGTATGTGTAAGGCTCTCCCAAATTATATAGATACAGTCGAGAAATTCACCAGGATTTGGTTCTCGCGGACGCCTGGCCGTCTTTGAGAGGTTCAAACTGCTTTGAATGGGAGAACTGTTAGATAGAGGGTCGCTCAATTATGAAATGCGTGCGCCAACAAGATGGACACATAAGGAACTTTGCCTGTGTACATCATTGTGTATCGTATGATCTTGCCATGTTGCTAGCACTGGAATGGCCTCTAACAACATCATCAGCACGACTTTTTACCTCTTCTGATTTCTGTCTCAAGTCCTTGGATTGCAGAAGAAACGTTTGAGCTTGCTGTATTTCTTTTTCCAGTAAACTGATATCATCAGGGTCGACAGGCCAGTCTTGTTTCTCCAAGTCATCCATCATGGACGCTTTGTTATCAAGAAAGGAAGGAAGTCGATCCTCAGGATACCTGGCTCACAAAAAGAAAAATGGTAAGTAAACTACACGTTGGTTAACATCGCTAACTACACGACGAGGAAACGACAAGGTAAGAAATTAACGCTTAATGGATCCGCCATCTTTGCACGCGCGTGATGAATTATTGGAAAAAACAATGCCACGTAGCCTCTCTTGTAATAACGTGTAAACTCCACCTCTTTCCTATTAACAAGGTAGTGAGTATGATTTTAAATCATATTTCCAGGAGTTCCACACGGTTACCGTTAGCATTAAAAAGAGCTGTGAGTGAGAAGAAATTAGAGGCAACGGCTGTTCACTTTTAATAGGCAATAACCGCATGTGATTGAAACATGTTCGTGCTTTTTTGACGACATTCTTCAAGGAACCTTTTTTTAGGAGTCATTTACGTTAAAAGGGGCTTCACCTACATGAGCGTGTAAAAACGCGATGACCAATGTCGAGCGAAGCAAGTGTGCACTGTTAGATTAAAGAGTGTCTTAGGGTGTTTAATTCTTTGAAATAGAAGATGGTTTCAATTGGTATTTAATGGGGACCAAATTGAGAGTTCGTAACGGAGAATTGGGTTGTAAATGCGGTTCGCCTCTACGAAATAAGATGATCACTCACTTTATTCTTTCTTCGTCGCTTAGACAGACGAAAACAAGCTCATCGAGGCGCCTGAAAGAAACACAACCATAAAATAACGGTAAGCCTCTCTGGTTCATGTTTTCGTCTCGGTAATTTGGTCGTGAAATACGATGCTGTAAATACCTGGTGTAATCAGCAATGGCTGTTTCCAGCCGAGCCTCGTAAGATTTCAGATTAACCGCTTGAGGATTCACCAATTGAACTTCATCTCTGTTGCTTCCTGAAGTGTGAGCCAACGGTAGAACCTAAGCAACAATCACGGAAAAATATGAGCGTTGTCTGGCTGGCGCTGAATCCAGGATTCTGATCGGCTACCCACAAGCAGTCAAAGATGGGGCTAAATGGTTTGTTCGGGATTGTCCGCTTTTTTGCTTCAAAAAAAACTTTTTTCTTGGTGATATAAAAAACTCTCTATTGACAAAGCTTGCTCAGGCGATACGGCTGGATACTGGCGTAGATCTTTGTATTTCTTTGCGCTTTTATGGGCAACCTACCAACCTATGCTAAAGAAAGAAACGAAACTGTACTGACCTGGTCAAAAACCTTGGAGAGCACATGTTTGTCCAGTATTGGTACATACTTGGTACTGTGTGGAATCATTGTTGGTGCCAATGCGTCCAGTATGGTCAGCTTCCTGGCAACAAGGCCATCCTTTTTAAGCCACCTAAACAAACAATGAAATTATCTTACATCCGCTGAGAAATAAAAGAGAGTAAAAGTGGCACGACACGTCTAATTTGAGGGCATTTATTATACTTTCAGACTAACGTAGTGTAATCCTACACATTAAACGTCGTTTTCTAGTATTTCGATCATTTTGGATTTCGGCAAAGATAAAAATTGCCCTAGCACTGCTATCGTCACTAACAAGAACACCTCAATTTGCAATGACATGAAAGATGTATGAAACAAAATATGCGTCTCGTTTGTTACCTCTTCACAGTCAAATCTTCGTCGCTGCAATGAAGAGAAAAAAAATGTTAGATAAGAAATGATAACTATTCAGAAACGACGATAAAAGAAAGAAAAGCATTTTGGTTCGTGCTTTTACAAAGATACAATGCAAACGAAAGCGCACTTAGAGAGAAGAGACAACCTGAAATTCGTCTGCGTTCGCAAGCTATTACGAAGACATTCGATCAAAATTTAAAATGCAAGAAATTGTTACTTGAACATTGCATCCTCACGGTTCTGTAAGCTTTAAAATATATTCGCTTTTACGACAGCTTTCTAAATGCTGCAACTACCTTGATATGCAAGAAAAAGCAACATTTGATCTTCAGTGACTACCATAAGATCCATGCCTACTCACTTAAGGTCGTCTTGCGAGTTTGTCCCATTCTTCTTCTTGGTTTTACCTTACGTGATACAAACATAAAGGTTTAATAAAGCACGTTTTCGAAAAGGCCAGGCCTAGCTGGAAGCTGCAGTCTAATATCTTATTATAAAAAGTTCCTCCCAAAAGTCGTTTATTTTTCTGTGAAGTTGCTTAATAGTTGCCCTCACTATCAAGACATTCGTACGTTTGAGAATTCTTTCTCCTTGTCAATTCAGTTTAAAAGCAATCGCATATCCAGTCGAGGGACAGGAAGGCAGTAGCCATCTGCAAACGTTTTTCACGTGTATTTGTGAGATAGAAAGATACCGACCGACTTATGGCCACGTGAAATGAGAGGATCGCTTTAATTCTAAACAGAAGAAAGGGGCAAATGTTTACGTTTTGGTATCCGTTGTTTGAAATCATCTGACTTCTTTGCAAGGTACTCCCGTGACTCCTTAAGCATCCAATCACTTGTCTTCTTCATCAGTTCCAGTCTCATTTGACTCGTCTTTGTTTCGCCTACTTTGTAGCTAGGGGACTGCGTTGTAGATTGCGGTATATCCCGGCATGCGCTGCTCACAATGTAGTCCTTATGACTGCTATACGTTAACTTAGCACTTGCTGGGCGAGGCCTGGCACTGGCTGGACGCGGTCTGGCACTAGCTGGGCGAGGTCTCGCACTCGCTGGGCGGAGCCTGGCACTACCGGATTTCTCAGAGCTAGGCGGGGACGGAGTCATGGCGTGTTTTGCTGAAAACGGTCTGTGAGAAGACGCACTTACTGAACGGGGGTGACTTCTGTCGAAGTAAAAAAAAAACAAGGACTGTTATACGTAGTAAAGATTCTCAAGCTGAGAGTGACTACAAATCCGAGGTTATTGAGTACAACTATAATTTAATGTAACTATTTTTCCCCTAATTCCTTTGGCCTGAAGCTCTCTACTAAACTTAACCGCCGGTAGCCGTGCAGTTGTACAAGGAGAGGACAGGTTGTAAAATTTGCATCTAAAAGAAGGAACAGACAAGTCAAAAAAAGGGGTCAATATAGGAGGATCACTAGTCAAGCTTAGTAGCTTAAGTGACGTGGAAGTTACGTTACGTTGTCTTGGGAACAGTGAAAAGGCTGAATTGTCCCAAGTCCTCTTCGTAACGCTTCTCGCGGGAGAAGTGGGTGTTGGGAAGGGAGAAGAGAAGACTCTCTCTCTCTCGCTTTCGTCCCATCACGCCCTGCACGCCACTCAGGAGAGGTTTAACAAAGCCCAATGGGTACGAATCAGGTGAAAGGTCGCTCTTTTGTACTTACTTGGAACACCGCCCAGTGTTAGAACCATACCAATCAAGCTGCGCGCATTCGTTTCTTATTAAGGTTATTTTACGCAAATCTGCTAAGCCTTTCTCGATTTCTTCTCTTAAAAGGCGAAGATCTTCGCTCTGAAATCAAAAGGGATTAGAACTCTTCAATAACTGATCTGTGACCAGGAAACTGCAACAACAGCTGAATCACAAAGCAGAGGTTACACTTGCCAAGAAGTGCAGTTTATTTATTATATTTTATTTTAAGGGCAATTATTCTCACGCCCTCTTGCCTGCTTCGTTTTGCGCAGGATTTGATTAGAACAGAACAACGAGAGACAACTGTGATATCAGCGCATAAATTCTCGTTACTGATATCGAGACATCTAATATAGTACCAGTTTAAGGAATAAAGCTTTCAAGAAGTGCTCGGAACGCCTTTCCTTTGTTTGATGGCGAGAAGCGCACTGGGAATGGTTGTTTATTTTCATCCTTCTTTAACCGTGGCAGGACTTCATCTCAGTCGATATAGCACTTGACCGCATAACAAGAGGACGCGGATTCCATATTCGGGGCCGGAATAACACGCAGGGTCTTGAAATAACTGAGAAATGAGGATACTACCTTTGCTTTGAAAACGGCTCGACCTTAGCAACATGTGACCACTTAAAAGAGAAGTCACGTCTCCAGTAGGAGACGTAAAAATAGTCTCCTCAATGAGTATTTGTGTGCAAAATACATTAACACTCAAATAAAGTGGTTTTTGTCTCCAGGGATAATAGGCTGATTTAGCAACAGGACAGGAAAGACAGTTGACGACGGGAAAGCGCGCGGAAAGGACTAAACACGACTTCCGGTGCCCAATTTACGCTCTGTCATTGGTCAAGCCAGTTGTTTAATTTGCGCTCGCCGTCGTCAACTGACGTTTCCGTTCCACTGCTAAATCAGCCTAATAAAGCGAGTGAACTACGTGAGCGCGCGGGAAGATCGCCACACGCGATTGAGAGAAAAAGCGACACGCGGAGGAAAGAGAGAAAAGTGAGCAGGGAGAGGTTTGAGTATAACTATGACAAAAACAGTCACCTCAAACGGCCTGGGACCATCCACGTCATATCCATCTTCAGAGAAATAATGAAACCTGCGGGTTTGGAAACAAAGAAATTTAGGGTTACGAAAACCGAGGTATAAATCCATTTTAATCTCATTGGAGCGTGCACAAATGTTATTCAGCCCCAGTCCAGGCTAGTCTTCAGTGAACAGGCTCTAAGATCTTTTATTGGATGTTTGACACAACTGACAAAACTCGTCAAGACCTCACAAAATTGATTACCACATGCACAGGCCATTTTGAAGTTGTTTGCAAAAGTTGTTCGATGTCATGTCGAGTTGCACTATGGGAATGTGTTTTGGAGGAAGAACTTTGACCCAACCTCTTCCCCAGGGCTTCTCCCCACCCATTTTCTGAGGGAAAACCCTGGAGACGAGGTTGATTTTCACCCAGTATCTCACGCAAACTTGAAAATGGCTAATAATAGGAGCCACGACGCTACACCGACCCAATAACAAACGCTATCTCAAACTGACCAGCATGAGTTCATCAATAATAAAAAAAGTTATTTACCTGCCGCCAGTTTCAGCTGCTAGTTGACAGAGAAACTGGTTAGCCTCTGTGTCAGCACAGTTGAAAGAGATGGTATGAATGGGGACTGGGTTCAAAAGCTGGACTTGAGCCAGTATGGATGATGGAGGCTGAAAGGGAAAAGTGAAAGGTGTAAAAATTTATATTGTTTGTTGTAATAGGGACCTAATATGATCAGACAACAGAGACGTCCGTGAAAACGTCGCCGAAAAATATATTTCGCATCCTTTCAAACCATTTCGCGATTATCCCAAGTCGCCCTGTTACTTAAAAGAAGGGAATTTAGGTTAAAGCTGAAGAGAGGGGACCGCGCCCGAGTTCAGACAGAGATGGTTGAATTTATCGCCATGCAGTTCCCCTAAAGAAAACTTAGGAAATTTGCCATTTTACGTCAAAGTTGTGCGGCACGGCAAATGAATTTACAAAAAAGCTTGAAGGACATGCAGAGTTAGCGCCACTAGCATTTGATAATTCTAAGTTGTTGTGGTCTCGTTTTTTACTGATTGTCCACCTTGAATTACTTTTCTGTATGTACTAAGTTGAGCACTGAAAAAAGGTTGATTGAGTTTTTGTTTTGCTCATTGAACTTATTGCTTTTTTGACGTTCCCGTTGCCGTGGCCGTCGTAGTTTCGTAAGGTCCCTAATACATCAGAGCTAGACAAAGCAGTAGCGTACCTGGTCAGGCCGTCCGTCTGTGAGAAGATAGATTGCGTGACACTGTGGATCTGCAAGGGCGAGTTTAAGTGACGCCAGAGTGTTTGTAGAGCCTCCAGTACTGAGTCCCTTTACCCACTGCCACGCGTTATCAAGGTTCTGAAAGATAAACGTCAGTACTAAATTACGGTGTTTAAACCAGTGCTGTGGCTCGTGATTACTGCCCAGCCCGTCACCCAGTGAGACTACACTGAGACAGACACCCAGTTCTCTACTTCACTGGTTACCCAAGGATATTACACAACTATCCTCCGAGGGGAGAAGAGGAAATAAATATCCAAGGATATTCCGAGTTACGGACGGTGGCCGATCAAAACGCGCGAAGGTTGCCATTCTCTGATTGGTTAGTTCTAAACAGGAATAAAGTTTGTTGAGCTCCACTTCTAATGATATATCTGCAGTAGATAAAATCAATTCTCAGTTTGAACCAGAATTTTCTTTGTAGGCTCCTTTGATTAATTAAAGCTAGAAAACAAACGAAAATCGTGAACCAAACTAGGCTGACTACTGGTTTAATCTGTGAATGGATTTTACCTACAACATATCCACTTATTTCGATGTAATCCCGGCCCATAACGCTATCTAGCAGGCCCCAGTTATTCAAAAGCTGGATAGCAGTAAATCACTATCAAGTGGATAAATATTAGGAAAACCAATTGCGCTATCTGTCCGTTGGACAGCGCCATCCACCTTTTTTGAACAAGTGGGGCCAGATAAATCACTATACCTATCTACTCGATAGTGATTTATCCGCTGAATAGCGCTATAATCTACCTTTTGAACAACGGGAGCCTGCTTTTTATCAGTGTCCTGAATTAGTACTTAAGCCCAGATACAGTCAAACGTTGTTTGTTACAGAACCCAGCTGACAATGAAGTGCCCGCATTAGCAAGGTTGACTTTCTATTGGTTGAATCTCGGCTCGTGATTGTGCAAGAGACAAATGTCCGCCGTCCATATTAACGGGGGTTCGTATTAAGCGGGTTCAATTTAGAGAAAATGTAAGGGCTTAGCCCAAGGCCAAAGAGAACTGTCCGTAATAACGAGGTGTGCATATTAAGCGGATGCCCGTAAAGCGAGGTTCAGCTGTACAATATTGACACCTTTTAACCCTTTAAGCCCCGGTATCCAAATACAAATTCTCCAGACTGGTCTCTATACATTTCCATAAAGAATAAGTTGAGAGAACTTGGTAGAAGATAAAAGCATTTTCTCTCAGGTGATTATTTCATTAATTCTCACAACCTTTTCTCTTGATTGTGTATTGATATTGTTAGGGAGAAAATAGATGTTTGTCATTTTTGGAAGTTTCTATACGTACATGTGTATTGCAGTCCACTAGTCGGTCTCTCCAGGCCTGTACTCTAGTATCAAACTTCACAAGGTTAAACTTCAACTTGTGTCGTAATTGTTCCTACAACGAATGCGGAATGCAAGAGACGTAAACAGAGAGCAAACTGACTAAACATGAGAAGGGAGTAGAGAGATACAACTATGTCTTTCCTGGAGATACATTATAAGCGTTTCCTGTAAATATATGGTTAAAATTTAAATAGTTTGTTTGCGTTTCTTATAATAAAATTTTTAGAAGAAACTCAAGAGAATATAACACACGTTTAAATACAGACACGTCAATACACTGGCCACAAAAAGGCAGGAATTTGACCGGTATCTTCTAACTCTGCTCCTAAGCATCGCAAGCATTACAAATTAGAGATCAGATGTTATGAAGCCCTGCAGAGTTAAAACGTGAATACAGTCAATAGGCCATTTCTGAGTTGCCCCAAGCGTCTGGTTTAAAACAATGCTTAGCCTCGCTTTGAAAGTGAGGGTTTTTGGAACTTGTAAATGGTCTGTTTTCTAAATGGAGGACACGATTGGAACAGGCATCAAGTGTCCGCCTTAAAGATGCGTTCTCCTTGTGGAGACTCAGTCAAGTTAAAATGACTTAAGAACGGCAAGGACAAACTACAAATGTCACTGGTAAGGAGGTGACCGTCTTATAGAGATAACCGTTAACAGACAATCGACTATATTTCCAAAACAGCGACAAAGTGAATCGCTGTGAAATGACTCGTGTGTACCTGCATGAGTCTGTAGAGTTTATCCTTCACAAGAAACAATCTTGAAGCCATAGAAGCTGAAGTGTCGATCAAAACAGCCACCTGCAAGAAGCAAATAGAAGAACGACTCAGTGTTCGTACGTGACACTAATCGTAAGTAACCCTACAAGACAATGCCCAAAATGTTGGCTAGTTTTGGGAAAGAGCCTTCATGTGCAACCCAGCTGTAATGAAGTTCGAAGGGAGTGGAAAGTTTGTTTGGTTTAGCGAGGGTAAATTAGAGAGCTTTAGACTTGAGGACGAGGACGAGAACGAGATTTAACTTAGAGGTTTTGCGCGTTTTCTAAAACAAAATGACTTCCCTGAAAGCTACATGTACATTTTACTTTTTGTCCCCAAAAAAGTTAGTACGGTTATTTATACTGAAGGAGGTTAAGCCCTCTCCCGATAGCAGAATGATAAAACGTCTTACATTTGGTAACTTGTTCCCGCCACTACGACATTCTCGCTAAAACCCGTCGTAGAATGAAGACGGCTATCACGCTTTCCCGCCAAAATGACGCTGGTTCAGGCGTGAGCAATACTCTGTATTGAGAAAATCTCGTACTCGTAGTCCTCCTAGTCCTCGAATCTGAAGCTCTCTATCAAGTCGAAACCGAGTGGTTCTATTGGCCATTTTGAAGGCGCTAGTGAGACTCGGCCGCTCCGCATTATTGGGGATATTATCGAGCGAGCTTTTTTAGTGGCTATTACGAAGTTGCGCAGCAAACTAGGTGAAATTCGTCCCTAAATTTTTTTGGCAACTAACCTCTTCTTAAAACTAACCACCGATCTTATAACAGTACTGAACGACTGAAAAATTAACTGCCAAACACTACCGGAGGACTTTGTTAGTCTTGTTCACATTTAGATTGACAATAGACGGGGAACTTTATTTTGACTTGCGTTTGTCACACTTTAATAACAGACCTGGTCTTCAATAATTGTACCAAACAGCTCTCTGCTTCCTTGCTGTAACCATTCCATTCTGAAAAGAAAATTCAAGGATCACTCCTTAACTACTGCTTATTGTAAGGGCTGTTAATTCTGTGGGGAGAATTATTTTTTTGAGAAGTTATTTCAACGAAAAATTAAAGTAAACTTGATTTAACTGCTGGAATTGTTCTTGTAATTTATTGTTATAAATATTGAAGTTATTTCAACGACTCCCTTAATTCTATCAATGACTAAAATTTAATTTCCTTAAGAGGATTTAACAACACCGCAGAATCACTTTCGAACAAAAAGAACAAAAAGAAAATAGCACAAAAAGAAATTCCTAGCTGTTCCGTTCTCCCGCCCACTAATTGAGTGTACCTGTCAACTTGAAACATGACAGACAGGGACAGCCTTGTTAATAAAGGCAAATTATACAGCAGTCTAATCTATTCATTATTTCTTACCTTTTCTTGTACGAGTCTAAAGCTGACAATATTCTCTGTTCGTAATTCCTGTGAATCGGTCCACTAACATGAACATGCATGATTGTACCATCTTTCCACCGCACGTGCGCAAACTTATCACAGTACCGGGCATTGACAAGTTTTGGGCGCACAATCTGTGAGGATAGAAATAAAAGGCGAAATTTCAATGTACATGTACATCCCTTCCTTCCTTCACCCATTTATCTTTCTCACTCACTCACTCGTTCGTTCGTTCGTTCGTTCGTTCGTTCGTTCGTTCGTTCGTTCGTTCGTTCGTTCGTTCGTTCGTTCGTTCGTTCGTTCTTTCGTTCGTTCGTTCGTTCGTTCGTTCGTTCGTTTTTACTAGCTACAGTTTTGGCCTGTTTTCCTAAATTTCAGACAGCATAACTTTACCAAACTTAGCCTGCGAGTAAGCTTTCCCCCCTCCCCCTCCCCCGTATTCGAAGGAAGCTACCCGCAGTCTCCTTCCGCGTGCCCCTTGGGTGTGATTTTTCATGACACCCACCACATGCGCCGCTTGTTCCCAGGCTATACCAAACTCAAGGCTCTATTCTCGCGGGTTCCTGGATTTGACCAAAATAAAGTGTGGAATTTGGATGATGCAAATTTCTTGACGGGTTCGGGGATTTGCCCGCTACTTTGGGGGAGGAATTCAACACAATCTTAGCGCGCATACTTTTTAATCTCGAATCGTGCCCCCATTTTGCTTCAAAATCCCGAATCCCGAGCTTCAATTAAGGGAAATCCAGGATCCCGAAAAAACCACTGTGGACCCTCTATTCAGGATGAAGATGACAAACGTTCGGAACGCTCGGTTTGTCGTAAAAAAGGGAAGGAACCCTAACGCACGATGTGCCTCCAATAAGCCTACAACACAAACTCCACAAGAACACGAACACGAACTACAGCAGTGGTCATTCAGCCAGCAGAAAAATTGATTAGTACGACTAAACGATTCACTTCGATTCATAGGGTCATTGTATGTTCGTTACAAGAAACAAATATGCTCTGTTCAAATCAACAGTTTAGGGTTAGGAACGCTTATAATCTGTTGCGAGGCAAGCTTTTAACGTATACCCACCGCATCAGTGCTGTCTGTAGTGGGAGCAACCTGAATGTCTACAACTCCATCGCAGTGTTTAAAAGCCAGTGTCTGTAGCAAATCATAAAAGCCCAGCTTTTTTGCCTTCAAGCCATGTCTCTGTGAAGAAAGGAGGGAATCATCATGTTGTTTTTAAAAGGCCAAAAACGATATAACTAAAAAAACTACACGCAAGTAAAAACAATGCACTTTATTTGAGTGTCAAGGTATTTACATGTAACACTAAAGTACTAATGGAGGAAAATAATTTTACGTCTCATTCTGCATGGAAACGGGACTACCATTTTGAGTGGTCAACCGAGTCACGCGAAGGTCTTGCGAATTGAGGCAATATATCAGGCATGAGACGCAGAGTTGAAGATACGGCGCGCAGCGGAGTATTTTTGACGAACTTCGAGGTGTCGAATGCTTCATACTACTTCTCGAACAAAATGATTTTAGAAGGAGAAACTAAGGATGCAAAAATGAACAGTTTTTTATCTGATTTCCAAACACTCATTGATTAAACATTAATTTCCTTTGTATTTTGTTTATGAATTATTAATGAGCTTGAGAAAGGCAGAGGAAGTAGCTTCACTTCTAAATTAAGAGCCTGAGTATTGGTCCGGCCCCGGGAACCGAACCGACGAACTTCCGCTCTGCAGTCAAACACCGTACTCTACCGACTGAGCTAATCCTGCCGTGGTTCTAATCCTACCGCTTAGATAAATGAATAAATAAGTCTATAAATAAATTTTAGCACATTCTCTTGCTTTTCGGTTTCTAACAATACACTATTCTCACTGAATAATTAATTAACGCATCGCCAAACGACCGGTAAAATACTCCACCGTCCTTTGGGACGCATCAATGCACTGCGGGCTCCCCTGATAAATAGGATACACCACGTGGCTTTGATTTCACTGTGTCACAGCGCCGACCGCCGAGACGACTTATCGAGGTTCGCTTGTATCGGTTTGTCAACCAACACCAGCCCGCCTTCGTTTCCTTGTACTTTCCGCTAGCATCAAACCGTCTTTTCTTCGACTACATGGCGGAACCAGCGGGAGAATTACCGCCTTTACCTCCGGTGGCGGCAGAACCGCCTGCTAACCCAGAACATCCAGCAGAACCTCCTGCAGGACCTCTCGCAGAAGTTCTCGCAGAACCGGCGGCGCAACCCGCGGCTGCTAATCAGGTAATTTCTAGTTCTGGTGCTTTTCGTTCGCTTTTAGCTTTATCTGCCCGTTTGTGCGCATTTCGTGTTTTTCTCCAACGTTTCTAGTACTTTGTTTAGCATATTTAACGTTCCACGTGTCTCTAGGGCATATTTTTGTTTTTCTCTTCGCTTTTGTTAGCGTTGTTCGTATATGTATTTCATTTTACTCGGTCCTTTTGTTTCGGCTTGTTTGTGTCTCATTTGGCTCCGGGAGCCGATTTTTTGTTTGGGACGAAATATTTTTGTTTTGTATGTTCGGTTTTGTCCAAGACACGAGTTATTGCGTTTGCTGTCCGGGACCGCTCGGCTCTGGGGCCGGCTTTCGTTTCGGAACGAATTGCTTTATATACGGTCCGGGACCGTTCGGCTCCGGGAGCCGGGTTTTTGTTTAAACCAAGTATTTGGTGTGTGCGGTCCGGGACCGTTTAGCTCCGGGAGCCGGGTTTTTGTTTAAACCAAGTATTTGGTGTATGCGGTCCGGGACCGTTTAGCTCCGGGAGCCGGGTTTTTGTTTAAACCAAGTATTTGGTGTGTGCGGTCCGGGACCGTTTAGCTCCGGGAGCCGGGTTTTGTTCAAAACCAAGTATTTAGTGTATGCGGTCCGGGACCGCTCGGCTCTGGAGCCGGCTTTCGTTTCGGAACGAATTGTTTTATATACGGTCCGGGACCGTTCGGCTCCGGGAGCCGGGTTTTGTTTAAAACCACGTATTTAGTGTATGCGGTCCGGGAATGTTTGGCTCTGGGAACCTGTTCTTTATTTAGAAAGAATTTTTGTTGGTCGGCTCAGGGAGCCGGTTCTTTTTCTTTTGTTTGGAGTGAGATATTGTTGTGTATGCGGTCCGGGACCGCCCGGCTCCGGAGCCGTTTTGTTTGGGGTGACATGTTTATTGTGTTTGCGGGCTAGGTCCGCTCGGCTCCGGCGCCTGTATTGGTCATATATGCGGTCCGGGACCGTTTCGCTCTGGCAGCCGGTTTTATTTGCCAATGATTATTGTTATACGGCCTAACCGTCCATTTTGGATCTAGCATATCCTCGTTTCGGGATCTTTCGGTTCTGCCTTGGGACCGAAATTAATAACATATAAATGTTTTACAGACGTTAATATATACTTCATATTTTGCGTCACTCTTAGGCGGACGATCGAATTAAGCTTCTTGAAGACAAATTGAAAGCTTTGGAGGAGAAGCAGGGCGTTGACGTGGTCACCACTGCTCTTACCTCTGTTCGCAACGCTCTTCAGAAGCCGGAAGCTGTTTATGACCCTTGGGAGGCTTCTGCTCACGTCGAGGCCCTGGTACGGGCAGCCAGGTCGTCCGCCCACGAAAAGGCAGACTATTACGCGGCCATTTTGGATGAATTAAAAGGAAGATCTAATGCCCTCTCCCCCTCTGCCCATAAACGGCTGCTCATGGGCCTCTTAGGCGATCCGGTTAGAGCCAAGGTTGCAAAGGAGTCCTCTGCGCTTCTCAAGACTATCCAGCGTGAAGAGCCTGGGTTTCAAGGTCGTAATAGTACTCGCCAGTTTAGGCGCCAACGCCCTTATGTCTACAGTTCGGTTAATTGTTACAGATGTGGTCTACCAGGGCATTTCCCCAGAGATTGTGGCCGCGGACGCGGCCGCGGAAATTCTAGGCGTTAGCATCATGTAAATATTGTAAGGGTATGGGATATGTTTTTTTCCTATATTATCCTTGTTTATTGGCTGGAATAAAGATTTTTTCCCCTAGTTATTAGCGTCCTAGTTTTCGCCTCATTTCTTCGTTGACCCTGGGGGGCCTTCTCAGCGCCTTTATTCTGGTCTATGATCAGAGCTGGGGTCAGCGAAGGATAGGGGATCCCACCTTCTTTTCTTCCTCTTCTTATTTTTGTATTTTCGTTCTCCGTTTTCCCAGGATTTCGCGGTTGCACTACGGGCAATCCTTGCGCTCCCGAGCCGTGACGTCAAATGGTGTGACATAAACGGGGAACCCTTATCCTTCGTTGGCCCCACCGTACCGGCGGAGCTTGTTAGTAAAGATCCATCCCTTGCAGACCTGGCCCAATTGCGTTTTAGACACCCAGATTATTCCCAAGCGGGCAGCTTACATAATCATGTTGACTTCTGGGAGGATCTCTTTTCTTCAGCCGGTTACACTTGTCCTCAAGTTGATTTGCTACAGATAATCCGAGAGGGAGTGAGGGTCGATAGTTTCTTCCGTCATTTCAAGGGCAACTTCAAAGGGAAAAGTTATGATTCCGCTGTACCGCCGATTTCTATTTTCCCGAACTCTCCTTGTTGCCATCAATTTACCGATTTCATTGACACTACAGTCTTAGCCTGGGTCTCTCAGGGTGTTATCAAAGTCTACGGCAAGATTGGCGAATGCTCTCCTCCTCATTTAGTCCTCCCCTTGACAGTCGAACCATCTAAGCCGCGTTTATGCCACGACGAGCGCTTTCTTAATTTATGGATTCAAGATCTCCCTTTCAAGTTAGACCACCTCCCAGACCTGCCTCGTTATGTCCTCCCAGGGCATTTCCAGACAACATTTGATGATAAGAATGGATACCAACACCTCAAGATTCACCCGGACTCCCAGGAATTCTTCAGTTTTTCCTGGAGGGGCTATTATTTTTCTTTCTGCACCTTACCTTTCGGGTGGAAAGCAAGTGCCTTTTTATATCATAACGTTGGCCTTGTCGTCACCAGTGCCGCGCGGTCTTTGGGCGTACCTGTTTCGCAGTATATTGATGACAGGCATGTGGGCCAGTTATTCCTATCCGGTCCACTGGTTTGCCAGCCTAGTCGCCAACTCGCACGAGCAGCAGCCTTTATTTTGTTATTCCTTTTGATCTCAGCGGGGTATTTTGTTAACCTTGCAAAGAGCTCTCCACAGCCATCCACTTTTGTTAAATTCCTGGGTTTCATCTCCGATTCTGTCTTGCAAGCTTTTTAGTCCCACTGGATAAAAAGGAGAAATTTAAAGCGTTGTGTGACGAACTCCTGGAATCATCTTTTGCGCCCGTAAAGAGCTTGCAGCGTTTCGCGGGAAAGGCGTTATCGTTTAGTCTCGCAATCCCGGCTTGTAAGCTGTATGTGCGGGAGGTATTCAAGGCTATCAGCGCTGTTGCCAAGAATTCGAAGCTCTCTGTTCCAATCCTGGGACCTTTGCGACAGGAACTTCAGGAATGGATTTTCTTGGACAATTGGTCTGGTCACTTACCTTGGCGGTCGGAACATCATCTCTCTGTCACAATGTTCAGTGACGCCTCCCAGAGGGCCTGGGGAGCAGTCTTGGTTAAAGATGGCCTACGCCAGCAAATACGAGATTATTGGATCGACCTTGAAGGTGATATCAATACCCTTGAGGCCAGGGCTTTGTGTAACGCTTTGAGCTCTTTTTTCCCTTCTATCAGAAACGCAAGAATCGATGTGTGGACGGACAACGCGACTCTCCGAGCAGCCTGGGAAAATGGCGGTTGTAGGAGTTCTCTGGTGAATCAGGAGTTGAAAAAAAATAGAAGAAATGTCTCGAGCAGGAAACTTTGTTTTGCATTTGAAATATGTCCCATCGAGTGAAAACATTGCTGACGCGCCCTCCCGTGCTCTGACTGACATTGATTGTTCTTTGTCCGAGGAGGCGTGGGCCCGAGTTCAAGCGCGGTTTGGACCACACACATTTGACTTGATGTCTTTGGACAGCAACTGTCGCAGAGGAAGGGATGGGAGCTTTTTGCCTCATTACTCGTCTTGGCCGACTCCGTGTTCTCTGGGCGTTAATGTTTTCGCACAACCGATACCAATCGAACATAACGTCTATGTCTTTCCCCCTTTCGTTCTCGTGGGACCGTTGCTGCGGTACTTTTTTGATCAGCGCCAGCGTTTCGCTTTTACCATCGTTGTCCCTCGTTTCCGCCCGCATCGCTATTGGTGGGCAATACTCCAAGCAATGGCAGTAGATTCTTTTCTTCTTGGGCGGAAAGGTGACCCGGCCATGTTGCTTTTCCCTTCCCGCACCTCCCCCGATTTCATTGCAAGGCCCTTGCCTTGGGATCTGTGGGTTTTTCGTTGTGTCTGCTCCTGGTAAGCTAGGTATTTATGCTTGTCTCTATAGATCGAACGCCCATGGAAGCCTGCCTGCCGATGTCCCGCCTGCTCTTATCCAAACGACAGTGACGCGAACTTTTGCCAGGCCTGCGGTACACCCCTGTCGCGTGAGCCACCGCAAGGGACCCGTCCACATGCGGACATGCCTTTGATCAACAAGCGCTTTACAGAGTTCCAAGAATCGTATAGGAACAAACCTTATGAACGGCAAAAGGACTCTTTAGAAGTTCAGCTGTCGAGTTTCTTGTGCTCTCTTGTTCCCCCGAAGAAAGTTTCTGCTGCAACCGCGGAAGACATCGTAAAGTTTTTGATTAGCAAGGATGCTGCGGGAAAACAGAAACTCCATGTGCGCTCTTGCTCTAGTAAGACCTGTAGTTGCCCTAAGCGTCTAGCGGCCGGAACTGTCGATTCATATATAGGGAAACTTAGAGCGATTTTCAATAGGTTAGGCCGTACAGGGTTTTCTAACCCGTTGGCACATCCTTGTGTTAAGGAATATCTTAAGTTTGTAAGAGAGGAGCAAGCCCAGCAACCTTTGCCCCCTCGTCAGGCTGTCCCTTTGTTCTATGACAAATTCACCCGTTTAATTGCCTATCTTCGCGGGCTTATTGCCGAAGGCTCTGCGCTTTCTCCTCTCAATAGATACCTCCTGGTCAGGGATATAACATTCTTTGTTATTGACTTTTACACTGGTGATAGAGCATCCGATTTGGGCCGTTTGAAGGCAGATCAGCTTTTTCGCCTTAAGGATAGGGAGGGGTTCCTTCTCAACTTTACGTTTAGTAAAACAAGGCGTGCAGGTCAGTTTCGCCCTTTTGCTCTGTTACGTATTCCAAATGTACCTGTCTGCCCGGTTTTTTGGTTGAACTATTATATTGCCGCGTGTGGGGCATTAGGTGTCCCTCTTCATGGTGAGTACCTCTTTAGGTCTTCGGAGCATAAAAAGTTTGTGTCACATCGTCCGTTCGGAGGGTCAGCCGTATCTGCACGGCTCCAAAAGTATCTTAAGGCTGCCAACATTAATGACGGAGAGACCCCTCACAGCTTTCGTGTAGGAATTTCATACACCCTCAAGGGTTTGGGATGTACTCCGGAGCAGATTGCTCAGTACGTGGGTTGGCGGAGCACAGAAATGGCTTTGTATTACACGCGCCGCTCCAGTGCTTCTGCTTCGTTGCAGTTGTTAGAACGGGTTACGCTCAATCTTACTTCTACGAGCTCTCCGCCCGCCCTGCAACTTTCCCACCAAGGAAATTTGCAGAGAATTTCGTATAGTTGAATTAATACATCTTTCATGACTAAGGGACTTTCATCCCAGTACTCTCCGGTGGTTATTAGTTTGTTGTCAGTTAATAAATCTTTATTGAGTTATGGAGTATTGGGTGTTGAGTGTTGGGTATTGAAATTATAAGGTCGATGTGTTTTGGGGGGAGGGTCGGAGACCTAGGTTATGGCAGGCTGCCTCAGGGAATGGCAAGGAGCGGATCTCTCTCCCATAACTTAGTTTCGCGATGTGTTAAGTGGTAGACAGTGAGGATATAGTACTAAAATTTCTTGCTACAGACAAATACCAGATCATTATCAAACCAAATCAAAGAATACTAGAAAACTTCCTGGAAGAAGGTAACTTCAATCTTCAATAAAACTCTTGGGCCAGAATGCGTAAAAAAACTTAATCGCTGAATCTATGGTGCTTTAGTACGGTCATACCCTAAGCCAGTCTCTTGAACTCATGTACATCTCACTTCTGCCTCTTGTGTTTCCTGAGCCGCTCCCCCTTATATGACCTTGCTCTGGGACGGTGCTTGGAGAAGTAGATACTGTAATACCAGACACATAATTATAATTAGAAAATTACCTCATTTCTAATCACAACAAAGCAACTAGATGCACAATTTTTTCCTACTTGTTCAACAGTTTATGCTAAAGAGAATGTTGGAGGGATATACTGCCTTAGTGGTAGATTCATGCATCAGATTTCAATCTGAAAGTTGGCTGAAGGAGGAAATATACTGCGGCGACGTTTCCTTTGAGCATGAAACTTTAATCCACACAGTCTTACTAATGCACAGGTTTACTGCGGGTAGTGGCATGGAAACAACATCAAACAGCAACAATTACATATTGCCACAATAACCTACTGGTATTTACTGATCCAGGAATTTTTACCGGGAACTCAATTGGCAAATCTTTGCGTTTTGCACAAAAAAAATTATTGTTAAATTCAGTTTTAGGTTACAATGAAGGGAATACATTTTTCACTTACGGTTTAGCGGTTACGGTTAATTCCTATCCAATATTTTAGGCACCATACTTGAATAAAACATTGAGGGAGTTTTCTTTTAACTTGTATTCTTCGTCAGTCTATATCGTCCTCGCAGTCCACAAGCGGAGCAAGCCATTTTACTTGCCATCAAATTTACCAACCCTTAGTTACGTTATAAATTATAAGTAAAAGATCGCAAGTTTTGTATTTTGGGCTCAGTTACATTGATCATGGGTACGGGTTGAGGTCGGGTTTTTCTCGTTCAGAATTCCGCTTTGTCAGAACTGACCGCCTTAGTAATTTTGTTACCCACAGTTACAATAGGATTTAATTGTTTTTGTCTTCTGTGCCATGTGTAATTATGCGTTCTGCGTATTCTTGACCTCCCTTGTAATTTAGTGTTCTACACTACCAAAAGGGTTTAATAAACTGATTATTATTATTATCAGTGAGCAATGTAGAAACGAAGTAAATGTTTGCGGACTTTTGGGAAATCGAGAGTTTAAATTGCACGACACCTAATTCTTGTGAATAGCTGAAAACCTGCTAAATTTCGGAAAATTACATCCCTAGAAATTTCATGCCATATAAAAATAAATTCCACTTATCTTGTAACTCCCCCAACATAAAACGTACCAACATGAACAAATCTTACTTGGGGTTTCTCTGGGATCTTTTATTTCACACAACAGAGCTTGAATTTCAGCTAGTGTGTTTCTTGCTTCATCCAGTTCGTCCCATAAAGTGATCACCTCTTCTCTTACACCCACACCAAGGCGTAACGAGGGCATCCCATCACCCCTGCCACGCCCAGTGGGCTGATTAGCGCTATCAACGTCCATGGATTGGGTGAAGCTATCAAAACTGTCTTCATATTCAGTTGGAACGGAATAAGCGTGGAATCTGGAATTGGACAGAGATTCATTCAGTTCAGGAATTTCAATGATTTAATGTTAGCTGTAGCCTGAGAAAAAAGCCGACATTTTGCTACGTTACCACTGTTTTCCCTGCGAAATGACGTCTGAGGAATTAACACAGATATTATATAATGACGGCATGTTACTACCCAGATGAGGATAGTGACAAGTTCTGGGCTCGTTCCTCAGACATCATTTTTGGGGGAAACCAAAGGTGCTGTTAGGTAATGTTGGCTGTTGTCTCAGGATATGCAACACAGTAGCTGTAGTAGTGAGATATTGGGGATAATTCTCCTGTAATCGTGGACAGCAAGCACGCGCAGGGCTCAAAATTAAACTGGCTTTGTTTATGCGAATTGGCACACTTTTTATAACGAAAGCAAAGCAAGATAGGATGAAATGTTTGTTTTAACTCTACTCTTTTAATTTAAATCTAAATCATAGAGAAATCTGGTTGCCAAAGTGGCGACTGAACCAGAATTTTTAGTCCCCAAGGAGAAAACGTTAGTCGCATTGGCGACCGTATCAGTCGTAATTTCGAGCTGAGTTCTGGTCAATTTTCTGTGTACTTTCGCTTTCTTGGTTATAGTGTCGTACTGATAATAAATGGGTTTTCCTCGAAAGATATATGTCAACTAAGTAAAAGGAATGAAGGAAGTGATATGATGTGCACAAGACGACCTGTTTGTCTAAATAAACTACAATGGTCTCGACGACATTTCAACTCTACAACAACTGTAAGTAAACAGGAACTGATGGACTGCTTGTTAGTGTCTTCAGTCTCCTTGGGAAAATAGTTTGCTAGTGTAGAAAGCCAGTTATATATCCTCGTTGTGCTTTGCCCAAACCAGTTTGTGAAGGCTTTAGAAAGAATTAACTAGTTAAGCTAACTTTGAGGATACAGTAGATTGATGGCATTTGATACAAAGAGCTGAACACATCAGCGATTACATCTGGTGGCAGCACCTTTGTTGGTAACCTACCTCCCTTTAGTTATCCTTGATATATCCTTCAGGAAAGTCATGGTTGCTGGATTATTGCAGTTCAGTGACACTACGTGAATTGGTACACGGGATCCTTGTATCTGTGAGGAAAAAAAGGTGTTGATCAAATAGTTTTAAAATGTTACAAAATTGGGTTAAAGTAAGAACACACCTTCCTCTTGAGCATTTCTTGAGATCCATCTGAAGCACTTCCCTCAGTAAACAGGTATACAGCTTCAATCTAAGAAACAGAGATGAGAGGTGTGTGATAGAAAATGGACATTCCTCTAACAACTACATAGAGTTGTGTGCAGGGCATGACCATGACAACCCTGTAAGTGTACTCACCGGGACACCATCACACTACTAACCAGTGGAAGTCCTTAACATACTTACAATACACTTACCAAAGGTAAGGAGGGGAGGATTATAATACTTACATGTTGATCAGCAAGTGCCTTGATTATCCCTTCCACAGTAGCTGTCGCGGAACGTGGAACTATTTTCTTCAGGTCCCAGATCCAGTTAAGGGCACCCTCCATACTGTCTAGAGTCACATTCACAGCATGATCCTGCCAGTATTGGGCATCCATGGCACATCTATTATTTATAATTCATTTGATCACGTTACATTTATTTATTATATACACACGAGTGTTTTACTGGAAAATATACCACTCGTAAAATTCATAAAAACTACATCCGGGACCCGAGTGGTTTATTTTTCATAATCTCACACGTGAGTTTATCGATGACGTAATTTTGGTAACTTCCCTCCAAAATTTGTAGGCGTCTTGCGTCCTGTGAATTTTAATTACACATTTTTCAAAGCTTTACTTATATTTTGTCATTGTAGAGCCCTATTCAGCTCACTGTTATTTCTCAAGATTATTGTAAACAATGTCTTATATTGCTGTGCTGTAAATTTGAGCTGTCACAATTACTTTTTGTATTGGTGAATAAAAATCTATTATTTTATCGATGTCTTTTTGTCTATATAACATTACATGGCAGCTTGAAGATATGAATTTGATTTTCTTGTGGCAAAAACAATATTTTACTCACTCGCTGCGCTCGTTCGTAAAATATTGTTTTGCCACTCGAAAATAAAATTCATATCTTCGCGCCACCGTGTAATATCCTCTATATATTATATTTTGTGGCTTCATGTTCAGCTTATTAAGCTGATTTGTTAAATATGATTGACAAGGCAGGCACATTTTGACTACTGCATAATGCAGTTTGTTATTTCAACAACATTATTACAGTACTACTAGTACGTGTAGTGTTTAATTTACCTAATGAGGTTAAACTTTGCAATAAACATGACTTGCTCCTTGAGTACTTGGATCAGTGCATGAAGGTAAGTACTGAACTCAGATTCACTTTCTGTGTTCACATCCAGTACAATGGAGATACACCTCTCTTCGATTACTCCAAAAACTCGTCGACTGTAAGAAAAAAAGATTTTAATCAGTCAAAGACCAGGAGACTGCTTCACAAGTTCAATTCAAAAATATTGACAATCATGTGTATATAACTATAAATCTTTTAGAACTCATTACCTCTCAGAAGTAAGCCACTCAAGTCGCCGCTTGTAAAGTGATATGGCCTGGGTGAGTTGGCTTTCAATCATACGGAGTTTTTCCTTGCTGGCAACAAGCTGTCAAAAAGCCATAAATGATGTGAATGAGAGTCACATAATTTTGATGACCAGTAACTTAGTACATATAAAGTCATGTATAATGTGTACTTACATTGTAGATAGTGCCGTCTCTGAAGGGAACTTGGGTGAATAATCCCTTGCAGTATCGTGCACGCACTGGTTTCTTCAGTGGCCTAACATAATCTGCAAAGAAGGAATCATGCAAATACAGAGTTTGTACCTATAAATTACTCCAACCAGAATTCCACACCAAATTCTTGATGACACAGGCTTCTTAACAGACGATTGTTAAAGAAAGTATTTGAACGGAAATATATGAAATGGCTTATATTTTTTTCATGTCATTTCCACCATTGGGTACATTAGGAACTCACAATGGCCTGCTCTCCAGTTGGCTTGATTAACTTAATGGATAGAGCGTTGTGTCCAGTCATCACCAAGGTCAAGGTTCAATACCAGTCAAGCATGAATTTTTTCAGGTTCTTTTCAACTGCTTGGGTTGTTTATTCAACTGTAAGGATCATTAATTTCCACTTTCATAAAAAAATATTGTTGAAATACTCATTAAAATAATTATTTATTGTTGAATTATTTTATCTTACCATCAGAATGTCTAAACCCTATGGAGGGCAATATCTGACCCATGTCAAGTTTATGTCTCTTAAGGCCATGTATCTGTAAGAAAAAGATAGCCTTGCTGTATTTTAGTGAGAACTATGTCCAAATTGAAGTGAGTAATTATTGAGTGTATGAGGCATACATGTATAAAAGAGACTATGCTAAATTTTAGGCTGACTCCTTTGTTAAAAACAGCCTGGATGCTACATGTAACCTTCAACATGAAAAGCTCAGCAGCATACGCATGTGTATTTGAAAGTAAACAGCATTCCACTGGTACTGGTACATATAACAATAAGTATATTATAATAATCATTCAAAATATTTTGCCGTTTGCGATTGGCTCCAATTCCCTGGCTTATTCTTCACAACCAACTGGTGCTAACTATATTTGAACGATGCAAGTAATACACTATGGATTCCATGGTATAAAAATAATGTTACTGTAACAATGTATACAAACGATCAACTCGTTTAGGCCTGCTAGCAGCGTACCTCAATGTGCATTTATAATTCTTCACACCCTACTCAGCCTCATTCAATAATATTACTGCTAAATATCTGGTGACAATACATCTTAATAAGTATCACTGAAGGCTGCAGGAAACTCAAGACTGTCAGGGCCTATTATAATGTATTTGAACACACCTTTATCATCTTGATTACTTGTTACACAATGCAATATGTACCTTAAGCCACTGAGACGTTGACAAAAGCATGCGTACATCTGGTTCCCATTTACTTGTGTTGGGTGAGTTCAGTCGTTCACTTTTGGATGGTGCAGTGGATTCATATGGTGATGTCCCATTTCCGTTTTTGTGTTTCTTGGATGCAGGAATGACTGCTTGATGATTCCTGGCTGAACTTTCAATAGGCCCTGAAAACATAACATAAAAAGTATTTTGGGCCTTGAAAGGGATATGTATTAGGCTCTTTCAATGTCTGGTAGGTTCAGCACTATATCCCATTTTTGGCATGAGATAGGTCACATGATCCCAAGCTGCAAAGGGTCTGATAGCCACAAATTCCTCAGAATTTTCTTTCACGGTAAAAAATGGATGCTGAGTGCCTACCCCAACAATAGCTACTTTGGGAAAAGTTGAATGGGGATCAAGAGAACAGTTTTGACACGTAAGCAAATTGACTGTTATTCCTGCTTATAGCTTGACTGGATGGTGTATTATTAATTTGCAGCTGTTCAGGTGTGAGCAAAAGGCTAAACTACTTGCCATACCAATAAACAACAAAAGCCTCTTTCTATAATCACTCATTCTTCTATGCCTTTCAACAAGGTGGACCAGAATGGCCCTTTATTCTATATAGTTCATATCAGTGTGTAACGCGAACCCTTATCCCATCCCCAACCTTTACAGTTACACTATACCTGCCCCTGCAAATTAAACCCTGCAAATATTGACTAGCTATTTTTCTGGAGGAGGGTAATCTGGAATAGAACTGTTTTTGTTAGCCGTTCATCAAGGACTCAGCTTGGAAGGTAAAGCTTTCAGATCATGTGTTGACCAATGTATTGGCCGACATCTCAGTTGACTGTCAATCAACATATTGTTTGCTAAGTTAATCGAGTGTTGCTCAAGTGTTGAACAAGTATCTGTTGAGTGTCGGTCGAGTATCAAACAAGACTTGACAGGCACACTGTAGTTGGCTGCTACCATGTATCAGTCCAAAGTATTGCTTGACACCCTCCTATAAGCCAGTGATCCAAGCTTTCTTGCAGGCTTATCAACACCAAGCATTAGTCTCAGCTAACACGGATTTGAGCAATAAATTTGAAAATAGTTTATCTGAGCTTCAAGTGACTCAAAAGCGAGACGGTTACTTATCAATAAATTTTCGTTTTCATCATATTAGGGTGGCAAAGATACGTCAACAAAGTATTAATGCAAAAGCTTTGAAAATTGTTTTCTTGATACTGAACTTTCGCCGTTATGAGGCGTTTCAAACAGTGCACTGTCAATAACGCGATTTTCTTATCTGATGATCAGCCTTCCAGGCATTCAGATAGTATACAAGGCGCGAAGTCATCTCTTTGCGCCGTCAGAGCGATCTGAACGCATGGTACAGGCTAGTTGATCACAGACAGTATACCTTATTAACACTGCTCTCAAGGCACCTTTCAAAACAAAGCCACCTTATTAACTACATAATGTAAATGAAATCAAATGATCTTGTCTGACAATGTACACTGAAATTCGACAAACTAACTCTTTGTATCATCTTACCAGCTCCCGATCCACTGCCGTGAGTGTGGCGAAAATTTTCGTACATCATCTTTCGGGACTGAATACTACTTCCTCGATAGTGTTATCCATAAATCTAAGCATTTGTCCAATCCTTGAACAAATTCGGCCGGTCCGGAGCACAAAGGCTGTATTCCGTGGTTGCTACACAAGCTGGTTTCTATCGTCTTTGAGAGGACCATTAGTAAACCAATCACGTGCAGGAATTTGCGTCACATGATTAGTCTGTCAGCGGTTGTAAACAAAAACAAAACTGCTACTATGTATGAGGTTCGTTCCTGGTGTAAAAAGATCGATTACAACAAACATCAACATCGCTGTTTGTTTGCTCACGCGGTGTTTATGCTTGTTTATTTAGGCGAAATTTGTGGAATTGTATCCTAATAGTGAGATTTTTAATCCAAGACAAGGGAAACAAGACAGGTATTTTAAAAAAGATCCTTATCGTTATTTATAATTTCGATATCGGAGTTTCGCCGCAGGAAAGCTTTTTCATTTGAAGAACTGCGCGCCCACTCACATCTTCTCGCATATTTGATCTCCATTAAAAGCAAATTGTCTGCATTATGCCAAGTAATTCTGAGGCTACACCCTAAACAACTCAATGTTTTATTAAGTTTTCGCAGGGTGAATCTTTATTAGATCGGCATGGATTTTGACCGGGTCCTTTCAAATGACATTTGTTCGCCACAACTCGAGGATGACACGGTCAAATATGATGCTGGAAGCAAGCACGGCATAAAAGCGTTGATGGTGATGGACGACTTGAGAAAACGCCAACAGCTCTGTGACGTGACAATCTGTGTTGGAAGCAAGAAGATCCACGCACATCGTTTAGTTCTAGCGTCGTTTAGCTCATATTTTCAAGCCATGTTCACTGGAGGAATGATGGAAAGTCGGGAAGAAATGGTAACCTTGAAAGATGTCGACTGCAAGACCGTTGAACTGCTTATAGATTTTGCTTACACGGGGAAACTCGATATATCGATCGATACAGTTCAGTCACTCCTTTACACTTCTTCTTTGTTACAACTCACCGCAATTCAGAAGGCTTGTTCTGACTTTCTAGAACATCAACTACATCCATCCAATTGTCTGGGAATTCGTTCTTTCGCAGATGCGCACTCTTGTACTGGTCTGCTTCAAGCTTCGGAGAAATACATCTACGAACATTTTAATGATGTTGTAAAGAATGACGAATTTTTACTTCTTCCCCGCGATGAACTAGCGGCGTTGTTGACTTGCGAAGAACTAAATGTTGATTCTGAAGAGGATGTTTATAATGCTCTTATTTCCTGGGCTAGGCAGGATGTAGACGAGAGACAATCCTTCCTAGCTGAGCTTCTTGGCATAATTCGCCTACCGTCATTATCTCCTCATTTTCTAGTTGACCGGGTAGAAAAAGAAGAACTTATCCGCCAAGACATTGCATGTAGAAATCTCTTGGATGAAGCCAAGAACTTTCATATGTTACCAGAAAGGCGGCGTAAGCTTGGAGGTCAAAAATCTCGACCTAGGCGCTCCACCTTTGGCAAACTGTTTAGTGTTTGTGGAATGGATTCAACAGGACACCCAGTGAGGACTGTGGAACAGTACGACTTCCACAGCCGTAAAGTAAAGAACCTCTGTCCACTCAACACTCCACGAAGTGGGGTGGGTGTTGCAGTACTTAATGGAAAGCTTTATGCAGTTGGAGGACACGATGGGACGAGATACCTCAGCAGGTGTGAAGACCCTTAAATTATGTACCTGTGAATGTTAAGCCCTAGGGTGGTTGAAGGGTTATTTCCTTGATTGTTATTGGAGTATCATATATAACACTCATGCAAGCTGCCATTAACCTTTCCACATTTTGTTATTGGCCGGTTAACATGTACCCTAAGAAAGAGAACCTTAAAAAGTCAGCTAAGTTTCCAAGTTTGAGATTCGTGGGTTTAAAACTAATGAAGACAATACTTTTTCTCCAATGTTCATCACCAAAATTGATTATATAATTTATAGGCATTTGTTATCATTTGCATCTGTCCCCACCCATGTTACAGTAGAACCCCAGTGACTCAAACTCTGAAAGGAAAGAGAAAACAATATTTGAGTTAGTGAGGGTTTGAGTTAAGTTACTGATTTTTCGGCACTCAGTGTGTAAAGTGCAGTGCAAATGTAACTTATTTCATTAGAAATGGTAACATGATTAGCCCTTTTTCTTGATAAATAGTGATCTGTTTGTCGCCCCAATTAAAACCAAATTGATGTAGTGTTGGCCAGTGTTAGTTTTAGTGTTTTTACTGATTATACAAAAAGAAGAGCTAATGGGATGGCAATCATGTGGAGTTAAATGTACTACATGTAGAACCAGAATTCGAGTTATCGGGGTAAATTTCAGTGAATTTTTCAAGTTAGTAGGGAATTCGCATTAACCGGGTTCCAAGTAACCTAGTAAAAATGACTGAAAAGTGGGGTAAAATCCAAGGGAAACTGGACTTAGTTGAAGTTAGTGGGGAGTTCGAGTTATCTGAGTTTGAGTTATCAGGGCTCTACTGTATATCTTGACTTGTTGAATATCTAAGTGATACAAATATCATTCCCAAACATGGCAACATTACTCATTTTAAGGTGCTCTCTCCAGTAGTGTCAGTGGATACGTGCCATAAACTGATCCATATTAAAATTTGAAAAAGATGATGTACACTGTAAGGGTCTGATGGCACCAACTTTAGTTTTTTTTTATTCAGATATTATTAATGTTTGAAAGGAATCATCTTTTTTTTCACTGAACCCAGTGTTGAATGCTATGATGTCACCACAAAAGAATGGAAGTTTGTTGCTTCCATGAATCATGCACGTCGATATGTTGCTGCTGCAGCTTTAGGAGGCTTACTGTATGCTGTTGGAGGATATGATGGCATTTCAGTACTTGATTCTGTAGAAGTGTATGATCCAAAACTTGATCAGTGGAAGCGGGTGGAAAGCATGTCAAATGCTCGCAGGCATGTGGCTGTTGGTGTCTTAGAAAATGATGAGAATGATGGTTCTGGGCCAGGTAATTTAAAAAATAATACCATATTTCCTCAAATAAGTGCCCATGCACTAATCAGGCCCTCCTCCGATTAACCACCTACACCCTAGGCCAAAATATCAAACAAGTGCCCCCCCCCTCAAATAACTGCCCCCTTCCCCTCCCCCTTCACTTTTTTTAACAGTGCAGATACAAGGAAAACCTATTTCTATTGCCACTGTATTCTTGATAACTCTGTCTGTAAACCATACAATGGAACTAATAGGTACGCTTGATCACCAATAGTCAGAGAACTTTATAAGTACCCCCCTCGATTAAGGGCCCTCCTTCTAATAAGCACCCATCCTTTTAGCTGAAATTTTAAGTAAGTGCCTGGGCGTATTCAAGGAAATCTGGTAATCATTGTTAAAATACGTTTGTATTGCTACCTGATAGTGTTGATGGAGCTAGGTGTTTTCTTAGGGAAGTACTAGAGCAGTGAACCTCTACCATTTTTTTAGCCCTCAACTTTGACTATGGAAGTGGTCTGAAGAGCTAATCTTGAGCCCCGCTTTATCCATTTGTTTTGGCAATCTTGGTCATGGCTAACGACACTTTCACTATTACAATGTAAACATTTTCCCCAACCCTCTTTGGATTTGATAAATGTTATTTTGCTTCGGACATTTTCCATCTCCTCCTTACTTATTCATGTATTCTATGCTTGAGTGGAAACATTAAATTTTATTTTAGCTATCTGAAATGTGTCTCTTTCTCCCGCAGTTCTTTTAAACAAGCAAAAACTTGTATCTTAACCTAATGAATGCAAAATAATTTTGAAAAGAGAGCAAATAAAGTTACAGTAAGTTATGCCATAAATTTTAAGAAAGTTTAACATGTTATGGTGTCAAACCTGACACAATCATTGCATGGTAACCTTTTATTCATCTATGAAACTGACCATTACTTGTTTTCCATGATAACAGGTTTTTGTTTTATATCGTAACACACTGAAGCATTGCTGTAACTGACTAATATACAGTGTACATGCTAAAAATAGTGGAAACTGGGAGAACAACTCTTAAAAGTGTAGAGTATTAAATGCGGTTGTTTTTACAAATAGTGCCAATGGTACTTCAGCTATTAATAAGCAGATTTCTTTTTCTCCCTCTTTAATAATAATAATGATAATGATATTAACAATGATGTCTTTTTTCATCTGATAAAAATACATATCAAAAGTTACTATCGTGGAGACTAAGTTATTAAAATAATAACAAGCGCTTACAATTTCAAAAGTAACATAATAAACATAAGGTAAGTTAGATTGCTAATTTATACTCAAAAATTGTTGTGACTTGTATATTGTTAGGATATCTGTATGCTGTTGGTGGCCATGATGGGATCATCTATTTAAAGACAGTTGAAAGGTACAACCCTGTCATTAATGAGTGGACTTATGTTGCATCCATGGGAGCACGGAGAGGTGGAGTGGGTGTGGCCACCGTTGGGGGTTGCTTATATGCTACAGGTGGATATGATGGCACTTCCAACCTCAGTACTTCAGGTATGTCATGACTCCTCAGCCATTCTATGACACTGTATTCTAGTTTAAACCTGGGCTGGGTTGTTCAAAGCTTGGATATGATAACCCAGGGTTTGTGTGAAACTTAAATTCAGATATGAAAGCTTAAAAAACAAACTCAGTTTAATTCTCTCTGACTACAATTTGATGATTGGATGCTCTAAAATAAATAGAGAAAGTTAGCAAAGAAAACGCCTCTGATTAAGAGAAAAAAAAACCCAGCTTAATCCCTGGTTAACACAAATTGTCCTTCAAACAACTGGGCCCTGGGGAATAAAATAAAGTCATTCAAAGTCAGATGTTATTTGTATCCGGCTCTGGCCGTTTATTTGTAAGAGTCATTGATACTTAACTTTAGGGTAGGACCAGCAATCCAAAGATGATGCCACAGATGGCCCTTGTATACCTTCTTTTAAAGAATGTTTTGAGTTGTTATAACGTTCCAATCAATATTTGGCTCCAGTTCCAACTGTTTGACTTATAAGAGACAAGCTTCAAAGATAACTGTTAGAAGATCTGGGAAATAAAATGGTGATGACTATAAAAAAGTCCCACAGCCATCTGATATAATCCTTGGATATTTTGTCTCTCAATTTATTATTATTCACTGCACTGTCGTAAATCGCGTGTTTACATATGTAATCAAACCTCATATCGCATATAGAATTTGATTGTTAAGTGACCGGAAAGAGATAGGCATCGAATCTGCCAAATCAAAGGAAACATAAAACGAATCGCTTTATCTTTCGTTGAAAAATTATCAGGAGTTGTGTTGTAATAAAACCGGGGATGCTGTGAGTGAAGAATATATGTTTAAAACCTTACATCGTGAGTGAGTGATTTAGGACCGTTTAGCGCGAGTTTATCGGGACAACAGTGTGTTGCAAGCAAATATCCCATTCCCAACACAAAGTGGCACCTCCGACGGGACTGAACAGAGGGAAAACAAACAGATCTGACGCCGGGATTTTACAATGGAGAAACTTACCACGGATCTAGACACACAACTACAATTGCTCAACTTCACAAGGGATAAGAGTGAAGGAATCACCGCAAAGGGAAATGTGGAAGCTGTGGACCGCCAACTTCAGTCCTTGAGATCTATCGTAACGAAGGTGGAAGATTTTAAGCTTCAAATCGAGCAAGCGAAAATCGCGAACGGAGAGAAACTTGAAGACGTGTCAGAATGGAGCCTCACAGTTGAAGCCGCCCAAACATCTGCTGATGAGAACATCGCGTACTTGCGGAAATGGTTAACAGAATACAAGCAAAGAGAACGCCTTTCGGAAAATGAGGGTCAACAAGCCTTTCTGGAGCAGTCAAGAAAGGATCAGCTTGAGTTTGAACGAACGCAACTGGAGATGAGGCTGACATATGAGAAGAAGATCGAGGAGACAAAAGCAAACCATTCGAAGACCACGGAGCCGACCTCAAATCAAGCAGCGAAGACCGCCAAACTTCCTAAGCTCGTCATTACAAAGTTTAGAGGTGAACTAACGGATTGGCCACGGTTCTGGAGTCAATTTGAAACCGAGATTGACAAGGCAGAAATAGCTGGCGTGACAAAGTACTCATACCTAAAGGAACTCGTAGACCCGAAGATACGAGCGGAAATAGACGGTTTGCCCTTCTCAGTAGAGGGATACGAGCGTGCGAAGAACATCCTGGCAAGGAAGTATGGACAAACAAGCGAGGTCGTGAACGCGTACGTGGAAAACATCATGTCTTTGCCTACAATTGGAGGAACACAGCCAGCCAGAATCCATGATTTCTACGAGAAGCTTCTTTTCAATGTGCAATCATTGGAAACAATGGGAAAACTGCGAGAGGTGAATGGATACGTGCGGATGACTATTGACAAGCTGCCGGGGATAAGAGGGATCTTGTGCGAACAGACGATTCTTGGCGAGAGTGGAATTTTCCAAGGTTAGTGGATGAGCTTCGAAAATGGACAGAAAGAAACCCGATCCAATCCAAGCAAAGCGATAAGCCCTGGCGTGTCGACAAACCCTGGCGTGACAAGAATTTCCAAGTCCAACAGCAGAGAGATGGCAAAAATCGGGGATGCGTTTATTGCGAAAGCCAAGATCACAGATCGGTCGACTGCAAAACGGTAGCCAGCCTCGACGATCGCAAAAGGATGCTTAGCAACAAACGCCTTTGTTTCAATTGCACCGGAGGCAAACACAGGGCTGAAGATTGCAAAAGCCGTTCCATGTGCCAGATTTGTAAGAGAAGGCATCACACGTCCATCTGCAACAGCGTCAGTAACCAGTTAATGACAGCGACTTCAACGCAAAGACCAACTGTGATCTATCCAGTCGTCGTAGTGGAAGTGATGGGAGTTAAGTGTCGTGCGTTACTAGACACCGGCGCCGGAAGTTCCTACGCTTCAGCAGCGTTACTTGATCACATAAAGATTCGCCCTCATCAACGAGAAGTACGACAGATCGAAATGATGATGGGAGTAGTCACTAAGCCGGTGGAAATCTTCAAAGTGCAAATAAGTTCACTGCAGAGCGATTTCATCCTTGAAACGGACGTGACTAAGGTGAATAAGGCACAGCTTTTATCCCTGGAAAACCCTCGCTACCAGCAAGTCCTGGAAAGGTACGACCACTTGAAGGGAGTGAAGATGGACGATATGGACCCAAAGGATTACCTTCCGGTGCACCTTATCTTGGGAGTGTGTGACTATACTAAGATCAAGACTGTAACAGCACCTCTTATTGGAGCCGCAAACGAGCCTATTGCCGAGAAAACTAAGTTCGGATGGACCATTATTTCACCGGGCAAAGAAGTGGATCTGTCTCCCATGTTCCTGACGCAGACATCAACGGTAGATTACGACAACTTGTGCAGACTGGACGTGCTTGGACTGGCAGATTGTGCAACTGGTGACCAAGACGAGGTGTATTCAGAGTTCAAAGAGCAACTAAGACGAGATGATGAGGGTTGGTACGAAACTAGCCTACCATGGAAAGGGAACCACGCACCTTTACCAACCAACGAAGCAGGAAGTCTTCGCAGATTAACAGGCCTCGTAAAGAAGCTGCGTGGCCAAGGAATGATAGAACGTTACGATCAAGTAATCCAAGACCAAATCAAGACCGGGATAGTCGAGAGAGTTAGCACACCCGCAACTGGGCAGCACGAATTCTACATTCCTCACAAGGCAGTGGTACGCGACACAGCAGAAACCACTAAGCTTCGAGTGGTCTATGACGCGTCAGCACGGGCCTACTCTGGTGCACCCTCGTTAAATGAGTGTCTGAATCCTGGACCACCTCTTCAAAACAAACTCTGGAGTGTCCTAGTTCGTTCTCGATTTCATCCAATAGCAGTCGCAGGAGACATTAAGCAAGCTTTCCTTCAAGTACGAATCAAGGAGCCAGACCGTGATGCGCTGCGATTTCATTGGTTAAAGGACCCAAGCAGTCAAACAGTGGAGACGTTGAGGTTTACAAGAGCCCTCTTCGGTCTCACATCATCGCCATTCCTCCTGGGAGGCGTGATCCAGCACCTGTTGGAGAGTTGCAGACAAGACCACCCGGACATTGTCAGCGAGATAGAACGCAGCTTATACGTCGACGACCTCATCAGTGGTGGCCCTACCTGTGAAAAGGCAAAGGAAATCAAATCAGCTTCTCAGGAAGTATTCGCCAAGGGCACCTTCGAGTTGCATAAATGGCATTCGAATGTGAGAGAGTTGGAATCGGCCGCCTCTGAACCAGCCGCTTCTGAACCAGTCTCGATTGAGGAAGAAACGTATGCAAAGGAGCAGTTAAACGTCCCCAGAAGAGAAGGAGCTACCCTGCTTGGTTTGCCATGGGACAAAGCAAACGATACCATCGGAGTAAGTTTTCCACAAGAAAAAAAGCTGATCCCAGCAAGCGGGGAATCTTAAGCAAAGTGGCACGGATCTATGACCCACTGGGATTGGCCTCTCCTATCTCATTAGGCGGTAAGCTCCTCTACCGTGACGTGTGTGATGCCAAGCTAAACTGGGATTCAAAGCTACCAGGCGATATGATGCAGAGTTGGATACGATGGGAGAAGCGACTTCCCGAGCAGCTTACAGTTCCGAGATCTTTAGCAGCCCATCAAGAGGACATTCAGTCAATAGAGTTGCACGCATTTGGTGATGCCAGTGGGAAGGGCGTGGCCGCGGCTGTGTATGCTGTAGTCAATCAAGAGTCGGGCTCAAATCAAGGGCTCGTGGCAGCGAGAGCGAGACTCTCCAAAAGGGGACTGACGATCCCTCGGCTAGAGTTGGTGTCCGGACATATGGCAGTGAATCTCTTGGTAAACGTGGCCTCCGCCCTGGACGGATTTCCCCTTACCGAAAAGTACTGCTGGCTCGATAGCACCGTTGCCCTGCACTGGATCAGATCCCCAGGCACATATAAGCAGTTTGTGAGTAACAGAGTCGAGAAAATACAAGCACATTCAGGCGTGACTTGGCGGCACGTAGGGACCTTGGAGAACCCTGCTGACCTTGGAAGCCGTGGTGGAGAAGTGAAAACCATCCCTCTTGGAGCAACGGGCCGAAGTGGTTGAAGAACAAAGCGATCTGGCCTCCAGACATTGTGACTAAGGCATCAGAGGAATCAATGGCAGAAGTGAAAGCAACAAGAGATGTTTTTGCTGTGGCGATAGCAACTACAGATGAGCTAGACAACCTTCTTGAGAAGTTTACCTACTGGAGGACAATGAGAATCTGTGCGTGGATAATGCGGTTCGTTCACAACGCTCGTTCAGAGAAGATACAAAGACACGAAGGACCGCTGACAACTGAAGAAACTAACAAAGCGACAATCTTCTGGGTGAAAAGAGTCCAGACCAGAGCCACAGCAGACAAGCATTACGAAGAGGATCGGTTGCAACTGAATCTGCAACCTAACCAAGACGGCGTGTTAGAATGTCGAGGCCGAATACAAGGGCATTATCCGGTGTATTTGCCCGAGAGTCAGCGCTTCACAGAGAAGCTCGTAACACAAGTACACCTTGGGACGCTCCACGGGGGAGTCGTCAGTACCATGGCAAAGGTACGAGAGCTGTACTGGGTTCCGCGCCTTAGAAGATTGACAAAAGGAATCGTGAAGAGTTGCCACGGCTGTCGGCGGTTTCAAGCCCAAGCGTTCTCGTCCCCACCCCAAGGCGACCTGCCAAAGGATCGGACAGAAGGTTCTTCACCCTTTCAAGTTGTTGGAGTGGATTACGCGGGACCCATTAAGTATCGTATAAGCAAGAACAGAGAGGGCAAGGCGTACATCGTTCTGTACGCTTGCAGCCTGACCCCGAGCACCTTCCTTTATGGTCAACCGAACATGCTTCCAGAGTTAGAACCTCATCACGTCCAGGAACACGACCTGCGGAAGAGAGCTAAATATTTGAGGAAGTGCAAGGATACACTATGGTCACGCTGGACAAGAGAGTACCTCCGCGGACTGAGAGAGAGACACCGGCTGAAGCACAAGGGAGACACGACCTATCCATCCAAGGGAGAAGTCGTCATCATCAAATCAGAAGAGAAGAATCGAGCACAGTGGAAGTTGGGAGTCGTAGAAGACCTAATCACCGGCCGTGATGGCGTGATTCGTGGGGCAAAGCTGAAAACTGGAAAGTCACGCCTGGAGCGCCCAATACAGCATCTGTACCCTCTAGAGCTGAGTTGTGACATGCCGATGCAGAACCCACCGGAGCCGCTGAATCCAATGGCGCCAATCTACAGGCCGCAAAGGGATGCCGCAGCAGCAGCCAGAGTTCGTATCCAGGATATGAACGAGGACGAACAATGAACTGAACAATGCATAAATTTAAGAACCCCAAGAACTATGAACATTACGAGTGAACTTTTATATTTTTTGAGCATTTCATGCCAGATGGCACATTGATTTTAAAACTCTAATATTTGTTATGTTATGATGCTGCTTGGTCAACAGACTGCAGTTCGAGACTCTTAAATTCAACGACTGATTTTCTATCTGTTGATTAAGTTCTGGACATTTGCTCTCTCGAAGCAAATGGGGGGAGGGTGTCGTAAATCGCGTGTTTACATATGTAATCAAACCTCATATCGCATATAGAATTTGATTGTTAAGTGACCGGAAAGAGATAGGCATCGAATCTGCCAAATCAAAGGAAACATAAAACGAATCGCTTTATCTTTCGTTGAAAAATTATCAGGAGTTGTGTTGTAATAAAACCGGGGATGCTGTGAGTGAAGAATATATGTTTAAAACCTTACATCGTGAGTGAGTGATTTAGGACCGTTTAGCGCGAGTTTATCGGGACAACAGTGTGTTGCAAGCAAATATCCCATTCCCAACAGCACATACATGTAGAGTAGGAATTACAGTTGTACTAATGAACTAAAATCTGTTTTGTCTTCATTTCATAAGAGCGCTACTATCCTGAAGAAGACAGATGGGCTTTTGTGGCACCAATGAGTGTTTGCCGTAGTGGACACGGCGTAGGAGTTGTTAATGGGTGTCTGTATGCTCTGGGAGGTCATGATGGGGTGTCATACCGCAACAAAGTAGAATTCTTTGACCCTCAAGTTGGTGAATGGACTAGTGTTGGTCAGATGGGAATGTGTAAGGCTGTGGCTGGTGTAGCTGTTATGAAGGAACACTGACATTTGGAGCATATCAGTTTTGCAAGAGTTGGAGCGATTTTCGTATAACTTTGAAATGAAAACGCGCGAACAGAACAGAAACAACAAAAGAACGGAAATAGAGCGATTTGATTGGTTTATCAAACAGATACAAACGCGCGTGGCTTTTGGTTGGTTCTTTAGCGGGAAAACCAAGAGGCCATGTTTTGATCTTTTCATCCATTGGCTGATAAAAGAAATAACGAACACTTACCGAAACCATTTTTCAAGGACATACGAAAATCGCTTTATACCAAAAAAAAAATGACGAAAAAACAAGGAGCATTTACTTTTGTCCCTTCGCTATTTCGAGGATCCACTGAGCATCAATTTTGATAGAAACGAGATTTTCTACAAACTTAAATCCAAATCGTGTTGCTGGGGAAAATCTTGCATGGTGGGTACGGATCCCTGAAAAATTCCAAGACAGGATACTAAAAAACGCTCCCTACCCTAGTGGCCCCTTCTTTCATTCATTCAACACTGGAAATAACTAACCTGCATAACAAGCGTTTCCGTTTTGTTTCGGAGCACAGAAATACCGAGGAACGGGAATTTCAGTTTTGGCCGCGCGAAAAATGGAACGAGAGCCCCTCCCCTTTTACTTGCGCCATTTTTCGTGCGGTCTTTGACTCTTGTTCCTCGTTCTTTGCGACGAAACCGCACGGAAACGCTTGCTACGCGACCGTAGGCTAGGTAACAACTGTCACTAGGAACTGATTATGTGCTGTCGAATGAAACTTGCAAAATGTGCAATGACTTAAAAACTTGTTTGGACTTGTTGTCCAAGCAAAGGTGTCTCCGCCTTTCCTTGAATGTATGGTGGTCAAAGAAGAGAAAGGAAGTAACATTGTATTTTCTTTGCCGACGTCTCGATTGAATTCATCATTTGATTGAAAATAGCACTGCAATGCTCAGTAGAGAGCAAAAGTATTGATCTCCGTCAGGAACATGTATGTATCTGCCCTGTAGATGTTAACCTTTTCCAAGAGTGTTATAAGATTGTGATAGCTATTGTAAAAGGTTTACGTGGCAAAAATTTGATATTTTTTCGAGACACTTCTGAAGTCATGCTCTAAAAGAAAATGGAGAGTTCATACTTAATAATATTTATTTGTGAAAACACTCTTAAGTCGACTAGAGTGATGATAAGATATTACCGTCTATGTTAGACGCACGATGAATTTTGGCTTTTTGTTTTACATTTTAAGCCGTTATTACTATTTATGTTTTGTGTTGCACAACGCACCATTAAATGTACAAAACAAAGTGTTATTACAAATGCAATTGCTACTAGATTAATTAGAAATCAACAGTAGATATTATCAGCGCTTTTCTTAGGCTTTTCGTCTTTATCAGGGTTGCTACCTTATGGGCCGGGACATGTCATGAATCATGTCCCGGCGGGTGTACTTAAGGAGATACATCAAATATACTGATCATTTTGTCTCTTATTCAAGACGCACAAAACCAGTTGAAAATCTAATAGAGTGGAGAAGTCGTTATGTCACGTTGCCATGGTAGCAAAATTTCTGGGTGACAACAAACCGAAAATATCACTTAAAAAGTGAATTCGCACCGTTTCAAACTTCGACGATGTTATTCAATTTGGTCTAGCCCGTCTAGGGTTACGTAAACAAACAGGGATAATCTCTCAGTCGACTCTCACGCTACGCTTCATTGGGCTTAAACAGCGTCCTGTTAGTGACAATAAGTAAAAGCGCACACAAACCAATGAGGTCGATTCCACGTAGCCTGAGCTTGACCCGGCTTCTGTAGCACGAGGAAGGTACAGTTGAATCACCAAGAACAAATAGCGTTGGTTCAAATTTGCTTAGAGACTTAACTTTAACCAAGTAAACGGCAACGACGATATCTTAACGCAACCCGACACTAATCAGCCTGTTGCTAAGGGGTCGGTAACCATTTTCGTTGAAGGCCACACCCTTGTACCGAGGAACTGTGGAGGCTGTACGGAAGTAAGGCGATTTTGTATCACCACACCACCCGTAACAACGCTTGTAACAATGAGTGTAACCGGAAACGAAGAAACCCGAGAAGAGAAGATTATCACAGATAAGCAGCTGGTAGGAGTGGTACGTATAGTTACTTGCTCCTAAGCCGTCCGGCAAAACTCCGTCCCACAGTCCATTGACCCTGCCGTTGTTATATCTGTAGTTGTCAGCGGCTGTTATTGGTGTCTGGCTACGTCGTGTAAAGTAGGCCTTCCTTCCAGTTTCGTGATCAATAAACATGATTTCTGTGAACTAGAACCAAAAGAAGCAGCGAAATAAGGGGAGAAAGAAGCTATGATGTTCTAAGAAATTTTAAGTTCACCTGCATTTGGTAATAGGATTTTTGGAATTGCTTGTTTCTACTGGCGAGATGATTACAGTAATTGTCAGAACTGTTTCCAGAACCTTTGCCAGTTTGTCCATCGCTAACTCAATAAGCCATTCAAAGACGTGAATTAATCAACTTACTTTGATGTTGTTGCAGTTCGTTCTGTACCCGTCAGTTCCATATGGAAATGTCAAATTGTACTTGACTTCAGTCCTGGGTTTGGCGTATTCATGAGTTGTGTAACACATGGTCCATCCTCCATTGTATGACGTCATGTCACAGTAAGCCAGGAACGCGTTTGAATGGCTTTCTCCATCAAGGTGCAACCAGTACATACCGTCTCCCTTAGAATGACCTTTCATTTTCATATCCCTACAACTGACTTCTATCACTGTAAATAAGGTGATTAAAATTTCAATCCAACGACTAAACACAGTCAAGAGCCATAATAGGACCTATGGCTCTTGACACAGTATGGACATTTTCTCCTTAGTATGCCATTAACATAAAAAATATAGCCGGTCCCTAAAGAATTCATAGAAAACAGCTGAGGATTTAATTGCGGGCGACAAGAGGAGCCCGCAATCTTAATCTCCAGGTTGTTATAACGCATGCATCGCATATATGTAGCCAGCATTCGTTTGGACTTCTACTAAGAATGAATGGGTTGCACAGAGTGCAATTTGATCACGCGCGTTTGGACTTTCTATCACTTGTAATCTCATCACGCGTGTTTTGACTGTCTGTCACGTGAAACCGTACGCAAAACACAGCGATGGAGCAAAAGCGTTTTGACCTTAGATCGTTCTCGCCCGCACTCCGTAACCTTTGGTTATTACTAGTTTATAAATATGTACGCTTAAAGGTTATATCTTGGCAGTTGTTGACTCCCATAACAAATGATACAGGTAATAAGAAGGATTTTTTAGTTCAGTCAGATCAGTCTCAGTTTAGTTTCAGTTTAACAATTCACCAGAAAAAAAAATTTAAATACTTAACGTTGCATAATTATATGAATTAAAAAGTTAAAGGCTAGTTAAAAAGGTAACATAAATCACACAACTTACTGTTACAAATATGTTCCTGGCGAGGAAGCGCAAATCGAGACTGTGGGGGCTTATTTACTTATTTTGAGCTCTATCCCTAATTTAAGACTACACAAACCCCTATGTCGCGAAATTAACTTGCACCCTTCCAGAATGAGATATTCAGTGGTAGTTATTGACCTAGGTATGGCACTTTCATCTAGAAAGATGCTCCTACATAAGAGCGTTTTGTTTGACATTTTAAGCTTTAAATCTTAGCTTCAGTTAAATTTCGAGCAACACTGGCCTAACGTAAAAATTTAGGTGGGTTAGGAAAAGATTCCATTTCCCATAAAACATGTTGATATTACGAAGAACAGTTTTAACGTTCCCTACCGTGTTCACAGCGTATAACGGTGACATAAGCCGGGCACAAACAACGGAATCCTTTTTCTGTAAATCCAGCTTGGCATGTTCCACCGTTCTCACAAGGAGCTTTATCACAAGCACTCTTTAGATAAAGGGAAATTTTTTGAGTTACGTGATAGAAAGAAAGAATTTGAAAACAGAATAAAGAAGAAAAATGACAAGTTCAAGACCCGCTCTGCATGACGTAGCTGGATTTGTTAATTCTCCGTAGTCCCGAGTTCAAATCCTCGACTACACTTGTTATTAGCTAGCTGGTTTGACTCCGGCCAGTTGGAATTCTTAACACTGTTATGTTTGATTTAAAAATTATCTGCCTCGGGCATTTGCTCAGCCCCACTAGCATTGTTGCTATAAATGACTGCCGAGGGTAAATAACAGATTTTGTTTTCATTAATCTGGTGTGCGGACCATTCGGCCACGCTGCCAACTTTCTAATTATAATTCTTATTCCAATTTTATAATTTGCAAAGGGCATAGATATCACTGCAGACATCCCTTTGTTCCTTTGTAGAGGAACTTCATAATTGCTTACCTCTGCTCCACGATAAACGTATCCTTTTGCGTCCACGAAATCCTGATCGTGTCCCAGATGAGTTGAATTGTTTAATTCACAGTTGTAGCTGCCTTCTGCGACCGAGCGCACTTCATATTTAAAATTAATGCTAACGCAGTTAGGTTCCTGGTAGCACAGCAGTTCACAGATATCTATATCCGGGACTTGGCTTGTTCTAATTGTATGGCCTTTCAGACGTTTGTCAGCAAAGGAGAAAGAAGCAGGGAACTTCAATTTACGACATTCACCTGAAAGATGGCCATTATTAATACTGATTACCCGGGAACACTAGGAGAGCTTGCTCGCAGGCTAATACTGACCACGTAAGAGAGGTTAGGCTGTATGTAACTGTAGGTTTGCTTGATATATCTGTTTAGCATATACTAAAACAGTGGATAGTGTTTTTCGCGCGCTTTGATTGGCTACTCAATCAGTGAATATCCTGCACCGTTCACTGATTCACCTCCAGTTCCTCCGAGCGAGCGGCACCAAACTCACGTAAGTTGCAAGCAAAATGCCTTCCCGGTTTGCTGCCGTAACAAACAAAGAAATTTCACAACTAATCAAGCGAGCTGTCCCCGAAATACACGAAGAAGGTGACGAACTTTGGTTTGGAAGTTTTAACAGGTAAAGCTTTGACTTTTTTACTTGAATTTATCGATAAAACCGGTGAAAAAGGTTTTTGTTTACAAATGCAAATTAAGCTTAAGTCTTGCGTTACTTTATTAAGCTGAAAAAAAGAATTCACAACTCCTTTTGAAGAAATTTCCCCGCAAGAGCTAAACAAATGCCTTCAAGATTTTATTTGTCGGCAAGAAAAAGCGACGGCCGCGGCCGCTCGGTCATTGCGCACCAAAATTGTAATCGTTGGCGACAGTAAATGAGTTTAAAAATCATCATTTTTGGGCTCAGTTATCTCACTGTTTTAGTATATACTAAAACAATTATTCACCTCAGTGTCGGTAGCTAGTGGTGACATGGGTATTTAACTCGCCGCTTCGCGGCCTCGGTTAATTTATCACCTCTAGCCACCGACACTGAGGTGACTAATTGTTATCTTATACACATCTGTCTTATCTCGCCCCGTGCAAGGGGAATCCGCTTTCCGGCATCCGGGAAAATTTTTGCTTGTAGAATTCGGCATCGTGGGCTTTTTGGAATCCAGAACAAAGCTCATGCAATTAACTGAATTAAAGAATGGAATACGGAATTTGAATTCTACTTTCCAAAGTCAGGAATGCACCATAGTGGAACCCGGTTAATACGGACACCAAGGGGACATGCCATAGTGTCCGTAATTATCCAGGTGTCCTTATTAAGCGGACTCTCAGAGAAAACGTCAGGAACACATGTTTTATCAATGTAAAGACCAAAGCAGACAGTTTTACGAACCAAGGATCGGTAGAAGTATGTGGAAAGGCAGTCAATTGGGGTGGAGGTCTTGGTATGGAAATCATGTGTTTACATTTTTGATGGTCCTCGGAAACACGTGGATTTACTTGAACAATTACTAGACGTTAGCAATAACTCAGCAATACGAGCGGAGGATGATCCTGGTACAGCTCGCAGCAAGCAAACAACGTCAAAGAGGAAGATGGTTTAGAGTAATGACTGCAACAAAAAGCCAAGGAAGTGAAATGTGTGTAAAAGGAGGCAGAAAACTTTATTAAAGGACTATTCGTAGTACAAGAGTCGAAAACCGGAAGAAAGACAGACTGTTCAAAATCAAATATGTCACGCTACTTTGTTACTGTTTTTTTTTAGTACTGTAATAAACTTTTTTTCACCCGTAAAAATCTGTCATTATTTGAACAGGGTACAATGTCTACAATTATCACATAATTGTGACAATGGAAATAGACAGTGTGCAGATAACCAGTGTCCGTAAAGCGGGGTT